TTGAATTAGATTGTGTCATAACTTTGCTTTTGAGGCTAACAAGCAAGAAGAGCCCATGGAAAAAGCATTTAGATTTTTCAGGTGGTGCCTCAAAACCCTGCTTAGGATAAACTGTTGTTGTGCTAGCTGTTGTAGAAATTACTGGATGAGTATGTGTGCTGTCCAGCTGCACTTTGATAGTCAGAAGTAGTAGCTGCTTATCAAAACAGATGATATTTCTTGGAAGTTGAATCTTTTGGAGGTCATCTTTCTGCTTGGAGACATGCTGGCAGTGTAAAATGTAATAATTAAGCTCTAGGATACAAATAATTTTTTCAATTAATTTTTAAAACCTCAACCTGGGCAATTTATTTTATATTTATTGACATAAAATAATAGGGAACTGTTACCCATGTTTACTATTAAATATTCTTATTGTTTTTCCACAGTGGCTTGCCTCAGGCCAATGTTGAGCAATACATAACACCTATTCATCTATTTTTATGCCATTTCCTGCTAGTGCCTGTAGCTCCACTTTACTCTTTATGGGAACTTGTTAATTTGCAGGTGTATATGCTAAATATGTTTTTATAAGGTAAATGATGTTTTATAGCAGGAGGCTAACAATATTCAGTGTGCTTAACCTGACCATCTTTTGCTTTCTGAGATGACAGTTGAAAGGTAACATTTCTCTCAATTTAAGCATACAAGAAAAACATGTACTGTGGGTTTTTTTCCTGTAATATGTAATGGAGGCAATCATTGAACTCTTAACTTAAAATTTCTTAAAATTTCTTAATTCAGTGATGAATTTTGACACTGCTTGTCCAAATATATAAACTGTGTTCTGGCAGATTAACTATAATATGGCAGATTCTGGTTACTGTGTGGGTGTCATGACTGCTTTTTTGAAATACTTCTTTTTTTCTGGTAAGTTTCTGTGCTTATAATACTCAGGGAAGAACCAAAGTGGTACGGCAGATAATTTGCTCTTTTATGTTCCAACAAATATAGCATTGGCTGGCTTGAGTGCTGGACTCCATGAAGCTATATGCTCTTAGCATTTTCCTAGATGACAAAAATAAAAATGCCTTTAGCTGCTGATTAATAGGAAAAGTTAAGCCTAGTTTGAAAGACTGACTTTTGGTGCCTATAAACTCGATGTTGCAGTTTTGACTGGGCTGAGTTTTACCTGTGTCAGCTGGTCCATAAATCATATTCAACAATACTATAACTACTCAACATATTTTCTCTGATATTACATGAAATAATAGACCATATTTTTTTTTTTCTTTAGTGTAGAAGAGTCTGAGAGAGAATCTGCTTCCTTGCACTGTTTTATGTTTGGCTAAATGCCAGTATCAGCATGCTGTTTATTGTTTTCTTTTTTTGTATCTGGTTCAAACTGATAAAACATCCTCTTCCTTTTGAATCTGATGAACAACTAAGAAAGCAATGAGTAACATTTAGGAGAAACGTGAGGAAGCAAACTCTTCATAAATTTTTACATAAACCATATTTCTGCCAATCAGGTACCTTATTGATTAAATAGGAGAGATCTGTATTCAAGACCTCAGCTACAGTGAGCTTTAGATTCTATAAAAGCTTCTAATGAGGGAGGATTCTGTTTCTTTTTTTAAATCTTGTGTTTACAGCATGCAAACAAAATGTAAGCAAAGATTTTATTCTTTTAAGATTCCTTTTCACAAAAGTTATGGTTGTGGTGAACCAGTTCTGTGACTACAGGATAGAGAGAGGCATTTGCAATGAATTGGCTGATTTTTGAAGCTGCAGTGTATGTATCTTTGGTTTTTGAATTAGATGTGTTAGAGAAGTGATTTGTATGTGTGTGTGCATGCCCATGAAATAATTTTAGTTACATTGGCTTTAAAAGTAATCTTTTTCCTCTATTTTTGCCAGTAAAATGAGAGAATCCAGAACTAACTTTCTTCCAGTCTTCATATATCATCTTTGCAAGAGAACTAACAGGATGTAGCTCTTCAGCACCAGGGAGAAGTGGAAGAGAATGCTGATTATATGCAGCACCATGTAAAAATCCACTACCCCTTTGAGATGACAACTTTCCCTTGCTACCAAGTTGTGGAATTGGTGCTGTGATCTAACTGCTTGCTAGTTCAGATAGTAGATGTCCTGAAATGTGAGCTTTCTGACTGTATTGACCACACTAATGTTTATTCTCTCCTTTGAAAAGTTCCCCAAATTGCCACAAGTGGTCACACAGGCATCTGATCAGCATTTCAGAGCCACAATCTGGCTGAAAGCTCACTAGTTGGAAGGAACTCTCTCAAGCCAGATCACCTTCTAATCTGTCACAAAAACTCTGGCTCAGTTGCTGGTGTCAGTGTGAGAAAGCTCAGGAACGTGCTGTGAGAGGGAGGGTCCATCTAGGTTCAGCCCTGCTTTCAATTAAGCCAATTGTGAAGCCAAATCTTTTTAGCTAACCAATGAAAACTGATTGTAGACACAAATCAAGTGGTCTTTCTCTACTGCTCATTTTTTAGGCACAGCTTAATTTGCAGTATTCTTTTTTCCTTCTCCTAAATGGTGAGAATGCTGCACCACTCTCAAACCAACCTGCCACCACAGAATATTGTGTATCATTTCTCCTGACAAACCCTTGAAAAGGAGTGGTCACGTGGTAAAGGCCAACTTGACCAAATGGAGTGACTTGGCCACTATATTAGTAGTCTCTAAACCTTGCTTTGACATAAGAATGTTTTGCATAAGAGCTCAAAAGCTTAGTGATTGGCAGGGTCTTCTTGCTTGCTTGATAGGTAGAGAGAAACCTGTTACACTCTAAGTGGGAGAAAGGAGAGCAAAGGGTGCCTTGTTTTCTGAATTATGTGTTAACATGTACTTGCTTTACAGAGCAGTAAAATTTGAAAGGCTTTTCCTTTATCCCTGTTATCCCTGTCTCGTGCTTAAGGAAGAAAATTTATTCCTTAGTGAAGACTTGGAGAGGGTAGGTGAAGTTACTGGAATTTCTTTGGAATCAGAACTGATTATGACAATCTCTTGGACGGGGCTGCTCGACCTGAAATTTTGTGAAGGGTTAATTTAGCAGAGTCAGTGTCTAGGAAGTGTTTCAAATAGTTGGGTAAAGAAGGTGCTGAGGAAGTTTGCCATTTCATTAGTTGGAGATTCCTTTGAGTCTGAACACTCAAATGTAAACTTAACAACAATTTTTCTTGCAACTATAGTATTTTGTATAAATAGTACATTAGCAAAAATATAACCTTTTCTTTGGTTGTGTTTACCTGCTTTTCTTATGCTTTTCTGAGCTAAATGGTCCAACCACTTCAACTCAGATGGGTGCACTAACATAAACTTAAGCCTTTTCTGGTGGACACCGGTGTTAGTTTATGGCTTTGTGATAAATCATGTTCATGAACAAGAGGAGAAGATGTAGCAGCAGTTGGGGCTTAGGTGCTAAGGTCTTAAAGTGTGTCAGAGTACAATATAGAGCAAACTGAACAGCCGTTCTCCATCTCCTCTGATGAGAAAGATGTCAAACTCAACATTATAATTTTCCACCATGGTTCCTAGAAGTATTCGTCTGTGCTGATCATGTTGTTATATAGTTTATGAACTAAATCCTTCCAGTGTGATTGTAAATGGTAGTTATTTTTGTTGACAAAGCTACATTTTGTTCATCATTTTTGGTAAATTTATTTCCACACTTGGCTTTTTTTGCCCGTTCAGATGTTATGCTTTGTTATGTTCTCACATTTTTCCTAACAGTAAAACTACTGTGTGGTCGATATGAGGGAATGTTCAGTATTTTTTGAGTAGCCTGTGAACTAAGCCTGAAAACTTTCTCTGAGTAAAGCTTTCCTAATTCCTTGAAAAATTTATTTGGTTCGCTTTTGGATAAAGAAAGCACCTCTAAGGTTTCTCAGGAATATTATTAATATACTAACGATTTATAGTGGTTACTGATAAAGATATTTGTTCTGTGCAGTACAACTAGAATCTGAAAGGTTATTGTCTTGAGTTATACAAAACTATATATAAAGCTTGTCTTGTCTGTTTACCTATAGCGATGGCAGAAGGTGGCCTTGCTGCTCTATTATGGTTAATATATCTTACATTGAAATTAGTACCAATGACTTTAAGAAAGCATCAATTGTAAACTCTCTTATAACTGCTACTTGTAAGAAATTGTAATTTTACATCCAATAATGTGGTGCACAATTTTAGTTACAGAAAGTGCAAGCTAGATTGTAACTCCAGCTTTGCATTAGTTTGCACACACTGAGGCAGTGCTGCCTCATTCAGAGCTCTGCCTAAATCTGCTTTGCCTGCCATCTGACCACTTAACAACGCTTGGCAGGGTGAAGGTTTTTCTCTATGTGATTGTGCACAGGCAGCTGTAATGCCTTGACTGCGGTAAGGGGTTTTTATGTTGAATCAATGCCTAGTAACTGAAGAAAGCTACTTGTGCAATTAAGAGGAAGTAGATGGCCTATGGGAATTTTGAAAAAACTAAAGAGAAGGAGGAATGTCAATTAGTCTACCCCTACTGCAGGTTACTGCTGAATTAAAAGAAAGCTAGATCTTTGCGCTAAGATTGTTTTCATTCCTGCTAAACCCAGATCAGGGCTTTCAGGGCAGTATCAAACAAAGGCAACCGCCATGATAAGAGACTAGTAATTTCTTTATAAGGGCAGTCACCAATATAAGAGACTAGTAATTTCTTTTTTTTTTGTTCTGTGAGAATACTTACATGATTATTCTGATAAGCTCTGACTTACTGTGTTTTATGAAGTATTGCTTCTTCCTTCTGAGGCAAACAGCATCCTTGTCTCTAATTATCAATTGGATTTATTTGTATGATGTGGTATGACATAAAGTCTGCATTTCAAATACTGTATGTTTTTGATGTAGACAAAATATAATTCTGCCAATCTTTAAAAGAGTAACTACTTAAAATGAGTCAACAACTGTCATTTTTCCTCAATATACCTGAATTCATTTTGCCTTTTTCTTTTTTCCCCCAGGCAAAACCAAAGCTCATAGAACCGATAGACTATGAAAATGTCATTGTTCAGAGGAAAACACAGATTTTGAATGATCCTTTACGTGAGATGCTACTGTTCCCTTATGATGACTTTCAGGTAATTTAATCCTTCCCCTCCCTTCCCCGCCCCCACTTCCTTATTATTATTATTTTTTGATAAAGACAAGTTTTTAGCAGGAGTAGATGTGAGATGATAACTTCCTATCTGTTGTTTCTCAGCGCTCTTTAGCTACAAAAAAACCCACACAAACTCTTTTACCTTAGTCCTGTTACACTGCTTAATTTATTCTGTTGGGTACAGAAGAAGAAATAGCACAATTTCTTCATCTGTTCAGATTATAAGGTCTGCTTCTGCAACTCAGCAATTTTATTGCCTTTTGGAGTAGATGATCAGTCACTGTTAGATATTCCTCCCTCCCTTTCTGATGTTCAAAAAAAGCATCTGCTTTTTGTTATTCTTTAATTCTTAAACTGATTTTTTCCCCCCCCTTCTTAGTAACAAAGGGCATGAACCTGCTCAAATGCAATCTGCTAGTCTGAGCTGCATGCTTCCAGCCAAAACTGGGTTTTGGCAAAATACACTCTTAATAACAGGCTTCTGACTTGACTAAGCCAGACTTAACTAAGATTTGTGATTGTCTTGTTGTATTTCTTTTTAAATTACCTGTTTATCTAAATAAATAGTTTATTTAAGTATACTCTTTTTTTTTTGGTAATCTTCTTGTAGATCTAGTTAGGATGACTACGAAGTATCTTAGAAACTGGAGTTGGAGTAAATAGTGTGGAAAGTCTCTTAGACACATGCCCATACCTGCAGTCAAAATATCTGTGTTTGCAAAGTATGCAGGCACCTGAACATTCTGTAAATTAACTTTATTCAGCCAAGTAGCTGAAGCTAAGCTTGTTTATCATGGGAAAGGTTGGTGATTAGTTGTTGTATTTCTACAGAAGGGCATCTGAAGTCCCATAAATTACATGTTGAACTTTTAATGAATTCTCTCTGGCTTGAATGCATCTGGACTCTGTTTATAATATAGTCTGAGGGCTTCTTTTTCATTGTTTCCTACATGAATAACTCTACTTGTAGCCTTCCCACTCTGAGCTAAAAAATTTAGGTTTTGGGAAGCTACAGGTATTTAGAATAGTTTGGGTTTCATGTGTTTAATTGAAAGTTTAAAGCAAGACTTCTTGCAGAAGAAGTTGTACTGATATTAATGTTCAAACACTGGATCACTCGTGATGATGCCCTATACCAGGTGTTGGCTTTGGGACTGAAGAGCAGGAATAGGCTACACTACCCAAATCCCCTTCTGTATTGTGCCTCTTCAGTATCACAGCTCAAGAGGAGTCCAGTTTACTTATGCCAAGTGTTCTCTTATCTGATTGACTAGTTCACTTATCAGGGTCATTTTGGTGAACAGCTCTGAATTATCACTGGAGAAGAAACAAACCTATCAAGAATATCCTCAGGCATTTTGTTTGGGCAGTCTGGGGAGGTGTCTGAAGTGTTCAACTGCTGTTTCATGTGACCTCTTCTGCAATTCTTATCCTCAGGCCTGTATGAGTGAAGCTAGTCCGTGTTACATCAGATTTCCTTCAAGTAGTCACAGTTTTGGAATATAGTCAGTTTTTCTGTTTCTTTATCTCTCACCACTATAATATCTGAACATTTTCTGGATTTTCCCTATACAGTCTTTGTCAGAGTCTCATTTTATACTTGATTTATATGAAGACTGGTTTCTTCTACCAAACTGCATTATCAGACTTTTATTTCTTTGGAACACTGGCTAGCACAAACTTACTCCAAATATTTTTATTGTACACATGATTCTTCAGTACTACTTTGATCTATCTAGCTTGTTTCCAACAACACAAAGCATTTATATCTGTCATTCAATGTATTAAGAAAATATTACTAAGTCAGAGAACAGAAAACCTTAAGTGCTTATTATTTTTTTTGCAAGTTAAACCTTTTAACCCTGTGCAGTTTTCCATAATCATATTTACAGGTTTTACAGAATCATAGAATGTTAAGGGGTTGGAAGGGACCTTAAAGATCATCTAGTCCCAACCCCTCTGCCATGGGCTGGGACACTCCCACTAGCCCAGGTTGCTCAGGGCCCCATCCAGCCTGGCCTTCAACACTGCCAGGAATGGAACCTGCCCTCTTTCAGTTTGAATCCATTCCCCCTTGTCCTGCCAAATAATCCCAATACAGGCTAAGTTTACATGTAGCAAATAAAATGTGGGTATATTCCACCCAAATTAAATTTGCCTTTACAAAGTTATCCCAGTGTTATTTTTAAGGCATTTTGGTGCTTAGCTTAGACATTCATTACTTTTGGATTTAACACACTTTCACTTAAAGCTCTTGGCTTTTATTTAGTACAAGTTAAGTACTTCTGAAAATAGATTTTATGCCAGCTTTGCAGAAATGAAACTAAATCCAGGTCATTCTATGAGAAGGCACATCTTCCGTAGAAGAAAAGCAAAAAAAAAGTCCAAGTAATGTTCTCATTTTAAAGAGCACAAAGTAAACTGGTCAAATAACCAATTTTGAAATGTTCAAAGAAATTTCTTTATGACTTTTTTCCTTTTAAATCTATTTTATGTTTTTTATGTAGTAAATTCCCATTAATTGGCTATTCTGAAACATCATATTCACAGGATTTTTTCTGCTGAGCTTTTCTTTGTTAGATATAACTGAGTGTTGCCATAATTTGTCATCTTTCCTTCAGTTGCAAGTTTCATTAATTGCTTTTGTTGTCTACCAGACAGCATTATTGCAGCGGCAGAGTCGATACGTTCATTCAACAGTTCCTGAAAATGCAGAGAAGGAAGCTCAAAGCTTGTTTGTAACTGAGGTAAAATTGAAATTGCATGTGGCTGTGTGTAATAACAATATTATACCTGAATTGTTTTTCTTCTGCTTCATTTGCTATTTTAAAAACAAACAGAAAAATAAGCTCTGAAAAAAATTAAATATTTATTGCCTTTTATTTGTCAATGATTTCAAGGGAAAATTTCCAGGGAAACTTAGAACTGTTTTCCACTGATGGCTGGAAAAGAAGGGTTAGCGGATAGCTTTGAATTGTTTTGTATCTATAATTGGCTCTTGGAGATGTTTCTCTTCCACCTTCTTTATTCTTTTGGCTTTCCCAGATGAACATGGATGATTTCCATACGTGATATTGTGACCATTAGTAAATCTTGCATGAATCGTTGTGACTTGTTTTTCCTGATAGATTCTCTCACACCAGCCATTCTTAGTTTGTTCATAATAATCATGTACAGTTTGCTGGAACAGAGGTATTCATAACTGTAACATTTGCAGAGGCCAAAATTCATTATGACTGCTCAACTTGTATGTAGAAGAAACAATCTCAAACCTAAAGTTTCTCAAAACTGTTTGCTTATGTTGTCATTCCTTTGGTTCTATGTGGTTCCATTTCATTTAGGGTTTTGTGGAAGCCTTTAAGGCTTAAAAGGTTTAAAATTTTTGTCTTTTTTGTGTTATCTACTGGTTTTATGATATTTTAACATTTAAAACAAGTAAATGGCTGTTGTAATTCCAGTAAAACTGAAGGAGTTCCAAATAGCTGAATCTACCTCAAAGTGATTTATTCACAGTGATACATATCCTTTATACCTAACCTAAACATTTCTAAGATAAAATTGAAGGGAATAGACAAGAAGGGAGGAATGTCATAGGTAACTGATGTAGTTAATTCAGTTTCTGCAGAATCAGTTGCTTGGCAAGTATTAAGCTTGTATTTTGAAATATAAAGAAAATATTTGTGATTTATTAGATGCTATGTTAGCGTACATGTAGGTTTATTTGTATAACGTAAAATATTGTGTGGAATGGTTTCTGTCAACAGATTTTGTCAGTTTTATGTTACTTTGTTCAAAGCCAAGATAAATCAGTACTTTTATGTTATGACAATATGGGTGGAGTCAAATGGTATTTCCTGTAATCTGGATCAGAATTTAATGACATAATTGCTTTTCAACCACTGCAAGCGTGGAGTTTAAATTTAAATGTTAATTTAATTGCACTAGAAGTATAAATTTAAGAAAAAGATGTTTTTATTTTTCTGTATCTGTACATGTGAAATTGAAATTGAGTTTTCTAAAGGCTCAGTTGCTTTTTCAGCTGTAGTGAAATGCTGCTTTAACTTTTTGGACAACTGAAGATGGTTAATCCAGATGCTGAATGCATTCACCATATAAAACACGTCTTGTGGATGATAACATTCTATTGAAAAATATAATTTGTTCCAAAAAGCTATATTGCATTAGGCTATTGGCAAAAGAAAGAAAGTGTAGAGAATTTGCAGAGGTTGACATGTAACCATAGTAGTTCATAAACAGCCATATTTTATGAGGTTTTCTTGTGTTATGCCTAGTGAATACCTTTAATCCTTTTCCAGTTAATACTGATATTTGGTTTTCATTAAAACAGTGCATCAAAACCTACAATTCAGACTGGCACGTTGTTAACTATAGATATGAAGATTACTCAGGAGAGTTTCGACAGCTTCCAAAGTAAGTATGTTATCTAATGGTATAATAAATTGAATTTGTGAAGGAACTTTAACTGTATTTAATATAAACTTATTTATTACAGAAGTATATTAATACATGTAATATGTAAACTGAAATATGCTATATCAATGTTTAATAGTCAGTAGAGATGATAAAGGTTTGTTGGGTGGAATTTATATTGATGAACTTGAACCTTAAAGTCTTCTTCAAGCATTTTCTGGAAAGGTACTGTAATAATATTGCCTTACTAATAGGCAAGTCAAAACAAGACACTGTTTCATTGACAATGTGATTTTAAGTATGATAACTAAAACAGACTAATGTTTAGATGAAACTAAAATGGTAATATCCTGTTTCCATAGCTTCAAAGGCAGCTTTTGGAACTCCCTGTAGGAGCTCAGGGAATAGAACCTAACCAAGATGGTTAGAGCAGGTTTTCACAGGATGATTCAAAGTAAAAGCTTAATCTACATCTGTTACAGACATTCTAAACCATCTGCTAGAGAAATCTTTTCATACTTTTTCAAAATTTTCTAGGGAGAGTATAGAGATTAGAAACTTAACTTAAAATGTTTGATAATGGCTAAATACTCTGAATACCCCAACTCTGGAAGATCTGTGTCTTCCCTAACTACTCTCCTGCATCTATCAGTTAAGAAATAGTTATCTTTCCCTGTGAGAAGTTCCGATACACTCACAGGTTTTGTACAAGTCAGCACCTGGTTTTTACTTGCCCTTAACAGAAACCACAATAGTCAATAGGAATTTAAATAAATGCATTGTCCAGCAAGGAGCCAATGGTTGCAGGTATGAATTCTTGCTCCTAAGATATGAGGAGTGCAGTGAATGAGAAAGCACTTGTTCTCTTCGGTTACACATTAGGACAGCGACAAGCAGAACAAAAGAAAGACTGTGGGCAGATGTACAAATGAGGCAAATTGATGTCTAAGAAATATACTTAACGAAAATTACATGCTTTTACTTAATTATTCTTGTACCTTTGCCTCTTCAGTTAGGAAAAGAAGATCTTAGTTTTTGCAGCTATAAAATGTGTAACTAATCACAAAATTCCTAGTACTTCAGAAGGTTTTTCTTTCCTAGTAAAGGGACAAAATCAGAGAAGCTTCCTGTTCATTTATATGAAGTGGATGAAGAAGCAGATAAAGATGAGGTGAGATAATTGTAATTCCTTACTTTCTCATGTTTTCATTAAAGAGTGTTGGGTGTGTAGAGGTTGCGAGTTTAAGTGTTAATGTCAGTAAATGAGACAGAGATTAGCTTGAACCACTGCATTGGGAAACAAATTAGCTATTTTGTCTATCTCCTTTCAAATAGCCTTGTTCTCCCGAGATCTGTCATGTAAACAGAAATTTGACAGATTGTGAAATTGAAGTTTTAATACTTGGTGGTGTATAATCCTTCAGCTTTCATAAAATCTGTCATGTCTTAGACTGTCTCTATGTAAGAGAGGTTTACAGAGAGAAATGTTTCACGCGGTTTAATCATGAAGTTGCGTAAAATCATAGGTGCATGTGTTCCAACATGACAGCACACGCACTTAAATAGCATACAGTGTGAGTTAAAATTAGTTTGTCACAAATCTGAGTATAGGGTAAGAGCTGGAGAGCTATCATGGAAACAAAATCTTAAAAACATTATCTAAAAGTCTAAGTATTTTCTCTTTTGTCATTGGCTTAGGGAAACCAGAGATGTATAGCCTCAAGCAATTTTCCAGTATGTTTCAAATGACAAAGACTTTTTTTCAGCAACTGCCTCTGTTATTTTTGTGATTTATTTCTTTTTTTACCACACCCTGTTTCGAAACACAGTGCTTGAATGCCACTGTTTTCTTTTCTGAGCTCTTACCTCTCAAAAAAGAATTAAAATAATTTTTCTTTTTTATAGTTTTAACCTCTTGACAATTACTTTGCTTCTAAATTCCTGATGTTGAAAGCTGCTACACATGAAATAAAAGGATTAAAACTGAAGAAGTAGGTTGGGGAATTCATCTGAGTAGATAGATTCCTGAACAGATAGTTATGGGATGCCATTTATCCAGTGCTGCTATTAATCTGAACTGTGATATTTGGCCAAATAATTTCTTGCATCTGTATCCAAAACTTCCTATATGTAGGATGGCAATAGTCATGATTTCTACTATACTGAAATTTAAAAGACTTGGCATTTTTTACTGTGATAATATTTCTGACAACAGAAGTGTTTTAGAAAACAGTGAGTTAAACATTAAAAAACTAAATTAATATATAATTGACTGTAATTGTTTCTAGTAAATATACTTATGGCTAGAGTTAGTTAAACACTGAAAAACTATAACTTGACTATTAGCAAGTGGTATGTATTTTACTAGGAAGTACAAGTGGAAAGGACTTCCTATTTCCTTCTGTCCAGTTTCCTGTTAGAGCAGGCAAGAACAGAGTGTCTCTTTCCAAAGTGCAGTCACTGGAGAACAGGTCTGCTGCTCTTTGAGGAACTTGAAGTATAAACACAAGAAAAAAGCAAACTAGGAAGAAAAGGGAAATTAATAGGACAATAGGGGGAGGGGGACCATAAATTCTTTCATCGAGGGAAGAATTAATGCAAGAGGTTTTTCTTTCAAACATTAACATCTTTCTATGCCAAAAAGCACAGATGCAAATCTCAGATTGAAAGTTGTTTGGTCTTCTTTTTGTTTCACTTTTGTTTGTGTTTGAAGAAAGCTGATTTATTATGAGAATGATCGAAAACAAGAAGCTACAAGTGATTAAAACTTGGAGGACAATCAGATAGAGATTAGTTTAATCATGCATCTTTAAAAAGGAGAGAATTACCTATCCAAAACTATTTTGGGCTATCGGGCCATCAGATTAATGTTTGTAAATGGAATTTTTAAATCTACTATGTGATCAAGATAGGGGATTGTTTTTGTTGAAACAGTTGCTGTTGAAGTAAACTTTGAAGCCAAGTTTGTGGGAAAGATAATTAAAAAAACTTAAGCACAGTGTGCAGCAGTTATGATAAAAGTGAGGAAATTACCTTACCAGCTGGAAACAGGAAGTATGATTTCAGTGTAAGAGTCATGTGTTAACAACTGGTCTCTGGGTTCCTTTGTATTACCAGATGGTCAACTGGAAAGATTCAGAAGCTTTTTGGCTCTGTAGGCAGGAGTTATGCCTGACAAAAAGATATGGTGTAACTGGAGAAGCCCAAACGATGATCAGTTTTATTGTTAGAAAACAGCATGCAGCTCAGCAGAGTTGGGAAACTGTGCACCTCAGAGACTGGGAATTGGGAAAAGAGTCTTAAGGGAGCTGAGCTAAATCCTAATTTTTATTTACACAGGTAATGTAGGAGTTTTTGTAATGTCAGATGATCCTAAGTTTGGTTTGTGAAGTTACAGATAAGCATTGTTTGTTTTGTGCCAAATTTTGACAGTAACTCATGATCTACTCATCATCTCACACTTGTAAAGGTGGTTTTACATCACCCTTTCCTTTGGAGTTAATTCATGCCAGGTGAAGAATCATAGTTGGAAACCCCATGTTTTAAGTTATCTCTGTATCTTGATTCTTGTACAAGAAAAATGGTTATCTAGGTAATACAATAAGGGTGGGGACTAGTGACTTGAAAATATGAAACAAGACCACTGTATTGCTTGGACAGTGAGGCTCACTGAGGCAAATGAAAATTTACTGAGTATTTCTGGTGTATGCTTTTGAAGCATTATATCAGATACTCTGAGAGTTGGTGACCATGTCATCCTTAATGAGCCTAACTTCCATAGTGCCAAGCTGACTGTCAATTTTGAAGGAACAGATTGATGCATCTTTTGCCTTCTGTTCACAGTTTTTTGAAGTTCACATGTGCATATGCATATGAATATGCAAGCTAGATAGATTAAATAAGCTGTAAATAAATTGCCTAGTAACTTTTTACAGAACATTCCTTGATTTAGTTCCAAAAACTAATTCATATTATTATATTTGGGTAATAAATTACCAGGAGTATTTATCTTCTAGATGGTTGAAAATCTTCCTACATGTCTAATTCATTAATGGTTTTGTTTCAAAATTGGTTATGTCAACTGGAAACCATGGTAAAGTCAGCTTGGGAGTACTCTAAAAGATTACGTGGAACTGGTGATTTAATATTTATTCTGTGGCAATTATAAATCTGGCTTCTTGATCTGATTTGATAGCAGTGTGCTGGGTTTTGGTAGTTATTGACATCCTAAGGGTTTCAATGCAGTTAGTCATTTCCATCAACTGGCAGATTGGTGTGGTATACAGGCACACTACACAGGTATACAGGTGTGATGTGTGATGCATGCATTGGATCTACTGTTTGTGAACTTGCCATTGGTGCCAAGTTTGGTCCTGTTCTCTTTATAAAGCTTTGATTCTGATCTGTAAAAGGGCAGATCCAATTCAAGAATTCAAGACTTAGTTCTCTGTAAATTTTTAAGTAAGTAATGTCTTCGAAGTACTGCATATAAAACAAAATGATTTGAGAAATCTCGATTTTGGAGAGGCATGTATTTGCATTGTTCTTTTTGGCAATAGAAATTGGTAAAAATTCATGTGCTTCAAGATTAGAATATATGAAAAAGGTTGCCATGTCAATGTAAGTGAATGTTTTGAGTGTTTCCTCATTCCACTATTTCAATGGGATTTATCTTGACTAACATTTAGCTATCTATAAGCTGGATCATCCTTCTGGCCATAGAGAAAGCCTGTATAAGTGGCCAGATTACATATTAAAAGTTAGATTAGGTTGATTTCACCCTAGGTCTTTAAATGAAATAATTAGAAAGCTACAGAATTTCAGCGGGGACTCATGGTACATTATCATTACATTATGAACGTAGTTATTCCAGCCTCTAAAGTGACTTCTGAAATTTTTGATAAATACTACACAGACTGTGATACAAAACTTTACTTTTTTCTTCTTCCTCCATCTTCCTTTCTTCATCTCCAGGATGCAGCATCTCTTGGGTCTCAAAAGGGTGGAATAACAAAACAAGGATGGCTGCACAAAGGCAATATGAATAGTGCAATCAGTGTGACAATGAGAGTAAGTTTAAGAATATCTTATGCATGGTAAAAAACTGAACACCAATATTAAATGTCCCTGTGCCTTTGAGAAGTCAATTTGTATGTGGATTAGTTCTAGAAAAAATTGTGTGGCATGAAAGAGGGAAACTTTTATGTAATTTATATATCTGAAATCTTGCTATCCTTTTATTACACATAAATTGGGAAAAAAAAAACATGAAAAATCTGATATGTGGGAGAAGTTAAATTTTTTTAACTGTACCCTTGTGTGATGGTAGTAGAAAAAGGACTGTGTAATAGGAGGAGGGGTTTTTGTTTGTTTGTTTGTATTGCCTCCTTTTATATAAAAATATAGGGTTTTTATTTGCCTCTTCATTTAGAAACAAACTCTAATTGTTTTTATGGTTGTCACAATAAATACCTATTGTGTATAATATTGTCAGTTACGAGTATTGAGACCATGTTGCTGAGAACACAGCTGTGTTGGGCAGGGCACGTCTCAAGGATGAAGGACCACCGCCTCCCTAAGATCATAGTCTACGGTGAACTTGCCACTGGCTGCCGCAAGAGAGGAGCCCCGAAGAGAAGATACAAGGACTCCCTGAACCAACATCTCAACCTTGACCAGATTGATCATCATCACTGGTCTACTCTGACCTCCAGTCGGGGGGTCTGGAGCCACACTATCTATAACGCTGATGCTTCCTTTGAGAACACACGCAGAACCATTTTTGAGGATAAAAGACAACGCAGAAAGAATCGTCTCTTGCCAATACTGCCTAAGGAAACTTTCTGCTGTGCCTTTTGCAACCAGACTTGTCTATCTCGCATTGGCCTTTTTAGCCATCAGCGCGCTTGTAGCAAACGTGGATGGAATCCTTCCCAAATCTTCGTTCGTGAAGCCTAGCCGTGATAATATTGTAGAGGCAGTTTTAGATATTCTTCAGTAGGTCAAAAATACTGTCACATTGTATATACAATCCTGCTGCAGATACTTATAAGTTAATTTTCTTTATTTAATCATTTCTGTTTTATTTTCTGAGGATACTGATTAGGTTGTTTGTCAGTAAAAGCTCTTTTTCTATTACCTACTGTGTAAATAGCACTTATGGGTATTGTAATATGAAGATGGTTAATACTGGTGTTGTAACTGCTTTTCTTTCCTCCTTTCTTTTCACTAGTCATTTAAAAGAAGATTTTTCCACTTAATCCAACTTGGTGATGGATCCTATAATCTCAATTTCTACAAAGATGAAAAAATATCAAAAGAACCAAAAGGATCAATATTTCTAGATTCATGCATGGGAGTAGTTCAGGTAATTATAATTATTCTGCCTGTTTTCCAGTTAATTCTGGATTTGATGGTAAATGCAATTTCTTTCAAAATACAGATAAATGTTTTCATATGTAGATAAGTACCTATTATGCAGAGGAACAAATATACATGCTGCATCTTGCAAAAGCAGTGAACAAGATTTCAAGGGGCAGGAGACTGAATTTTTAAAATCTTTCTGAAAGGAACATAAATTACTAGTTGATGTTAAGTATCAAACCAGATTTTAAGGAAAACGCACAAAGAACCCAAAACTTAAATCATGGCAAATTAATGACAGCACAAAATTGAAGTTCATTTCAGTTAGATTCTGTGCTAACATGAGCTGTAAAATTTTTTTCATAGCTTCTTGTGTGGGATTTTTGTTGTGGGAATTGTATTAAATTCAGTCACCCTTCCAGATGCTTTCATTTGACCTTTATAATGTTACTTTTCTGTGCTTTTCTTTATTTTTAAAAGTTAAGGGCTTTGGTCAAATGTTTGTCAGTAACAAGTGCCAAAGAAAAGATTGTTTTTCTTTTTCTTGTGATTCTGTTATGTATTTATAGTACAGCCTGTAACTGTTCTGTTAAGCACAGCATACCTGGAAAAAACACTTGGGTTTTAGTACTTTTTTTTTAACTCTCATGGAAGTGGGTGAAGTTTAATAAAAATGTATTTCTTAAATAATATTTTTTTAGTATAAGGTTGTTTGATTTCAACAAAGAGATACAGCAGTTGTACAGAGAATTTTTTTTCCCCAAATATTGTAGTGATGTTTTTGATACATATTTAATAGGCAATTTGCATTGAAATCTTAGAACTGTAATAAATTTAACCATATTGCGAGTTCTATATACAATTTTACAAAAATTTTTTTGTCTTAGAGATACAATTCTGGCCTACTCCACTGAAATGAGTTTGATTTGTGTTTTTAAAACAAACCAACAAACAAAGAAGGGGTTCCTAAACTCAGTTGTAGTCTCGTCAATGTATATAAATACCTGAGGGGAGGGTGCAAAGAGGACAGAGCCAGGTTCTGCTCAGTGATGCCCAGTGACAGGGCTGGAGGCAGTTGGCACAAACTGAAACAGAGGAGCTTCCCTCCGAACATCATTTTTTCATTGTGAGAGTGACTGAGCATTGGCAGAGGCTGCCCAGAGAGCTTGTGGAGTCTCTATTCTTGGAGATCTTCAAAAGCTTCCTGGACATGGTCCTGTGCCAGCTGGCTCTAGTTGGCCATGCTTGAGGAGGGAGGTTGGATGAAACGACCACTAGAGGCCCCTTCTAACCTCTAACCATTCTATGATTCTATGGTTTTGGGGTTTAAAACCTGAAAATCTCCTTTTTTCTTATTCGTACTTTCGTAGTGTTCATACTTTCTGTTCTGTCAGTTCAATTCAAGTAACCTGAAGTTTCCTCAGACTCTTCCAGAAGCTTGCTTTTTTAAAAAAAAAATTATTACTATTCCTTTGTTCTTGAGTAAAACTGTCCTTTGGATGGTTTAGAATTAATAGCTGGCTTGTGTCTCAAACACTTATACTGTATTTTACAGTACCATCAGTGTTCATCTTGGCATCTGGTTTTCAAAACTGTGTGTAAAAATTTGAAACTAGTTATGAATCAGCATCAGATGCAAAATCAAAACCAGTTAATGCTCACTTTTAAGAAACCAGGTAGTCATTCAGTAGCTAGAATAATGAGGTTTGAAAATAGCTATTATCTTCACTTGAATTGTTGGTGAGGAGCAAGTAAATGATATTTTGAATTATCAAATATTATACATAATGGCCCTATTCCAGACATGTAATTTTATTATTTTATATTATGTACTGTATCCTTTCTGGCTGATCTAATTTTACTGTTTTACTGTTACTTATTATTGGTGTTGTATTAGCATCTATAACCTCTTATGGGGGAAAAAGTGGTAGAAATTGCATTTCTATTTAACGGAAGAGAAAAATATAGTGGCCACGGTACTTTGGAGTAGTCTGACATGGAATTCATAGAAATGGTTGTTCTTAGATAGGCGTGCTGCCAGCCTTTTGTTCTCAGAACGAAACTACTTGTTTCAGAGTTAGTCTTTCCACTGAGGGGAGATAAGTTACTATTGCATTCCTATAACATTTCTCATTTCTGTTTTTGAGTTCATTTAGTACACGTGCATAATTATTTTTTCAAAGCCAGTAGATGCCTGAGAGAAAATTATTGACTTCACTAATGGCATTGAAGATAGAGCAGAGTATGCTCCTTTGTCAATAGTTGTATAAGAGGAATGCTGAATTTGTGCAATAGCAGGGTTTTGTTTGGTTGGGGTGTTTGGTTTGGGTGGATTTTTTTCCCCCCAAACTTTAATTAAGAGACAGGAATTCCCAGAATACTTTTTGGGGTTTCTGGGTTTGATTTTGTCTTGTTGGGGTTATTGTTTTAATACCAAAGTATATTGAGACTTTTCTGATCAGAGATGTGGAGCACATAATATGCGCAGTGTAACTGTTCACACAGACTGCCACATATGAAGTCATAGTTGCTCTAATTCAGTGCCTTGTGAAAACTGAGAAGTGTGATATGTACCACCTGTGTCAAGGTTTTATTCTGTGAAAGTTAGAGATTACTGTTCTTCAGATTTTTCACTTACTTCAGCACTGATTTCTACTGGTAAGACTGCCTATAGATCTGGAGTCCATACATTTGTTCATATCCTTCTTAACGGAAACTGATCTTTGGTACAAAGCTGACTGTTTTGCCAACCAGTACTTAGTCTGTTAATTGAAAAACCTGAAGTATAGTGAAACTAAAATATAATTTGGCATTTAATTTAACTTAAACAAAAATCCCTCAACCATTAATTCTGTCATATTGTTTATTGTAATGTTTATCTAATGAATTATCAATTTTAAAAATTAAATTGATGATAATACAGAAGTTTTGTTTAAGATTCATTCCCAGAAACATGAGTCAGGCTAGGTAGCATTTGAAGGCTTGATTTAAATTGGGTAAAAAGGATGACAATAATGGTTGAGGAATAAAGGAGGAACTGATTCCCAAATTCATGTATATTTATAAGACTGGCAATTCAGGGCTGATGTTGGTTATGATTTTATCTCTGGTATAAAATCCCAGTGTGCAAACAGTTGTCACTCAAATATTAATGGAGTTTTTTGCTTTTTTAATTTTTTTTCTTTAGTAGATCTTGGTTAACTTCATTTCAGATGATCTGGGTACATAAACAATTGATATTTGGAAATTTGATTTTTAGGGTTTTTTTAAGGTGATGGCAAGCAGAATGATTAAGGGAAGCTGGAAAATGAGCTGTTATCTTTCCTACTTGCCCTTATTGCAGTGGTACAAATGACTTCAGAAGGTCAAATGTCAGAGATGAAAAAGTGTAATTATAATGCACTTGTTCAAAATATGAAACTGTGTATTTCTGTATAAAATATGTGAAATATGTTTAACTTCCTTTGATTGTGGTTAGACAGTATATAAAGATATTACACAGATCTTTTATTTTCTCATAGAATAATAAAGTCAGACGTTTTGCATTTGAGCTCAAGATGCAAGACAAGAGTAGTTATCTTCTAGCTGCTGACAGTGAACTTGAAATGGAAGAGTGGATAAGCACTCTGAACAAAATCCTTCAGCTCAACTTCGAGGCTGCAATGCAAGAAAAAAGAAATGGAGAGTCTCATGAAGGTAAGCAGGGCTTCTAGCCTGAGAATGGATGGGGAGGGAAACTGGTATGAAACCAACAGTATGCATATCCAGAAGAACCTGGAAGATATTATGAAAGGTGGTTCTCTTACAAATAGCACAAATACCTAAAGGGATCATTACAGTTTAAAGTGAGATATCACATCTTTGAAGACTGTCAGAATTTAGCGTGGTGTTTACAACAAAGCCAGATCAGAAAAGGAGAAGCTTGTAGCTCTGTGAAAGACATTTTAGTCAGTGGTCCCCATTTGACCTTAGAACTGTAAGATGCTTATAAGCTAACTGAATGGTTGCTTTGTAAATCCAGTAACTGTTGGAGAGTAGAACTGGGAACCTAATGAACAGAGGGAACTTGTTTTGAAATCAAATTACAATGCATAGTGGAAAGAGTAATGTAAATTTTGTGCATTGAGTATCCCCTTTCCCCATGCAGATATCAAAATTAATATTAAAGCTGTGTTCTAGGTAAGACTACAAATAACTGCTACTATACTGATTTTTGTTACTAGTTACATCTTCCAAGAAGTCACTGCATCAAAATGTAATGATAGAGTTGTCCACAACCTGTTTATGTTAACAGTTGTCATTTTTGAGGGGGTAGGAGATAAAAAAAATAATTTTTGCTATGGAGTTTTGTGAGTACTTTGGGGGTTTTATATTTATCTTAAAATGTGGTTTTATAATTTCAGATGATGAACAAAGCAAACTGGAAAGCTCATCAAGTAGTTTTGATAACTACTATCCTGAAATTGCCAAGGTAATACATATATAGTAAATGTCAATTTAGGATATAAAATACTAAACATAAGTTAGCTACATGAACTTTAAGTAAAGGTAAGGTACTGGTTTCTAGCTTTCAGTCAGTTTGTGATTCTTTCAAAGCTTAGAAGCTCTTTTGTTAATATGGTTATTGAGCTTCTTCATTTTCTGCTTTTATAAGCAATCTAGATAGTGTCTTGAAGTTGCCTATGTAACTCTGGACATGTTATTTCAATCCAGCATGTTTTATTATAATTTTACTAATTAATTATATTTTGTATTGGTTTATTGCGTGCAGGTAAGTCCTTAAGTATTTCTGTAGAAATCTAGTTATACTGAAATCAAGTGTTATTTTTATATTTAAAAAATCCAGAGCAACTTAATAGAAGTGATGAAGTGAATGTATTTTAAGATGTTTGTATTTATAATGAACTGGCAGGTTCATGGATCATTCCTGTAGTGCCATGGTTTTTGCTTTTCAATTTTGTTCTCACAGAAGTGTGGTGGAAATTAGAATAAAATAAAATAGAAAGAAGTAGAAAATAAAAGTAACTTCCTCAGCCCATTTGCAGACTTTGTTTCAGTTAAATCAGAGACTTGCATGTTGCAATAAATTTTGTGAGTTCTGTAAAGGAGAAATTTTTGTTAAATCACCCAAGAACTGGAATTGGTGACTTTTTCTATTGAAGTTGCAGAATCCAAACTTTTTCCTGTGACTTCCTTTTTCTTCTGTGTGGTGCAGCCTGGAGTCTTGAAACTTTTCTGCTTGACCATGCTCTGGAATGCTCTCTCCTTCTTTTTTGAGGATGTCTGACCTAGTAACTACTCCTGAAGGAAGCAAAGCTTATGAACTGAGAACAAGCAAACCAAATTCTATCTATTAGGGTAGCTAATATCAAAAGATCCAGTCAGAATATGTTAACAAGCTTTTAGCACCCAAATTAGTTGGCTGACTTAATTCTTTCTGATACTGCTTTGGAATCAATTTAGCACATATACACAAAAAGCCATTATGTGATAATCTAGCTCCAGATACCTCTGTATTCGGAAATTAATTGGGATTGTGGTACATACAATCAAGGTTTCCTTGGAAGAGCTGTAAGCATCAAACATCATACTTACATGAGGCTATGAAAATTTATTTCAGAAACAAATGTAAAATTAGATGCTTTTTTTTGTACAGAAGGTTATCCTTTCTTTATAGTCAGAGTTATTGTAATGTTTAGGTTCCATATTCCTTACAGAAGGGACTTTAATTCAGGGCTGTAGCACCTGCATATGGCTTTAGGACTACAATTGCTGCTTCCTGTTTCCATAACCTTTGGATCGGAAACATGTAGCTCTTTAAGCTTAGTATTTTTCTAGTGTATTATTTTTATCACCTCTTTAAGCACTGGCTTTTTTTTTTATTATTCCATAGTTATAACCCATTTAAATTTCTGTTTCCTTCAAAATAAGTTTTTTAGTTTTCCCATTCTAGTTTATCTGTACTAAACACTACCTTTTAAAATAATGTACTGTAATGTATTGTCCTAGCCTTCTTTTTTTCCTGAGGAGAAGAACACAGAAAAGTCTGCCTGTTTTTATTGGTATGCTGTTTGTGCCTTAACTCAATTGCTTTATATAAATGCTATTTGTTTTGAGGATTTTTTTTGTCCTCTATTCTTTCTTGCACTGTCTTTTCAGCTGTTGTTTGGATTTAGTTCTTTTTTCCCAGTGGAAGCCTTACAAGGCATTGGGCCTTCTCTTAGAAGAGTTTATAGTTGCTCTATTATTTTTGTTGGTTCTAGGAGGAGAATTTCACAATAGTTGACCTCATATCCTTATGAGGAGAGAGAAATTCCTTCAGGGGGGGACTGTAGAGCACCTGACAATAAGGGAAAAAACAGTCTTCCCAGGAAGGGTTTAACCCTTGTGAGTACATCTCCAAGCCTTGATTTTTCTTTCAACAGCTGCTAGTTTATGATATAAATTAAATAAGATGGTATTTTGCACTTCAGTGCACAGATGTGCACACATGTATCTGATTCTGTCTGTCTTTCCTGCCTACTTCATATTCCTTTTATCTATAACGAAAATACCAAGAGCGAATGTAGGGGTTTTGTAGTGGATGTTTGTTCGAGTTTTTTGTTCGGTTGTTTTTGGAGTTGTTTGTTTTTGTTTTGTTTTTTAATCTTAAAATAAAACAAATTAGCCCTCTAAAATAACTACGTGACTGTCGTGTTAAGCGTGCCCAAGTACCTCCTTAACCATTACAGGTCCGCAGAATTCACTGAGGTGGGAAAATATTCTCTCTTTTATAGATGAGGAAATGAAATTAGAGTCACTGTTATGCCATAGAGAGGGTCAATGACTACATGCATTTTCTGTTCTTGACTTCTGAACACTGCCCCTGTTCTGTCAGTCAAAAATGCATACATTCGTCTTGTCTTTAGTGCACAAAACACCAAAGCCTCTAAAACTATTCAAGATGCTTTAGCTGAAACAGTTTCTGTCTTGCTCTTATGACTAGGTCATGTTCCTCCTCAGTTCTTGCCACTGATTATTGCCTTTGCAACACATGCACACAACTTTTTGCCATCTTTAAACTTCTTCATGTTCATGTATTTCTCAGTCATATCAGACTTTGCTGTTGAACAAGCAAACTCTGGCAGTACTCTGCTGGTATCGAGTGTTTGGGTCGTCTCTTTCACAGCAACTCTTGTTTTTTCTCCTGTGTGTGCTAAAGATAACAAAGTAAATTAAATGAAAACCATTAGAGCATTTTTACTCAAAATAGCCCCTCAGAAGTTTTTTTCTGTAATACATCCTTTAAACCAGATTATTTTTTAAATTTCTGTTATCAACCTAAAAATAGGATTTTGAGCTCTTAGAGATTATGTTCTTTTGTTTTGGTTTGGTTTTTTTTCTTTTTCTTGAGACATAGGAGAAGTTGCTTCAAGCTCCAGCAAAGCAGATGTAGACAGTAGATCACTTCCAGCTGATGGTCAGTGCGGAGAATTTTGAGTTTGTAACTTCTTTTAACCCATATAGCTTGATCCAAAGAGAGACACCTGTCTGTAATGTAATACTTTGTATCCCTGTTTAGCCAGCTGCTACTTTGGGAATAGCAACTCTCCTGCATGGATAATTTTGGCACATGCATATGTTCATTTGTCATGTCCTGTGACTTTAAAAATCATAGAATACTCTTTAAATAATACCTTTTTCCAAAAAAGGTAACCTGTGTATACAATCAGTTTTCACATTCTATTTTGTAGCACTTTGCTTTTGTTTTACTGTTAATAGATGGCTATCCACAAATCCCAGGCAGGATCAGTGTACAGTGAACTCTGCAAAGTAACTTTTAAGTGTGAGGGGTTTATCCTTTGGAAGTTTGGGAGGTTTTTCCAGCTACCCACAGGAAAACCACTTCTTTGGCAATAGAGCTCAAGAGAAGCAAAAAAAAAAGCAACCAAGAAAAAGAGAAAAGAAAGGGAGCTATGATGGTGTTTCTTAATTTAGATGATCTGTTGTTTCCTGAGCAATCTTATGTTCTCAGGATAACTCTGAGCTTTAACCTACAGTCATAATTTATTTTTTCATTTAAATAAAATGATGTTATGAAAGTTATTGTTTAAGGAGGGAAAGTGCTCTATAAGTTACGCTGGAGTATACTTCCCATGAGCTTGGAAGGTTACGTGTTGCTGATGTAAGTTTATAGATTTCTAGGCCTGGAAGAAAGCCTTTAGAGGAGAGGCTCTCACTTTTTACTTAAACATGGTGGAGCAATGTAAACTAAGGAGTTACAAAGCTCAGTAATGGAGAAACAAATGTGCGAATTAAAAATGTGTAAAGCTTTGAACATCACGGAAAAGAGATGACACTGAAACCCACTTTTATTTAATAGTGCAATACTAAGACTTTTATTCTTATTTTGAACAGAGTACCAGAGAAGCAGAAATCAAGCTGAAAAGTGAAAGCAGAGTTAAACTTTTTGCCTTGGATCCAGATGCACAGGTTAGACTTCTTAAAAGGAAGCAGCGGTTTTTTTGTGTTGATCATTTTGAGATGAAAACCAACTTACTGTAGTTTTTCTTTTCTCTTTTTAAAGAAACTAGACTTTTCTAGTATTGAACCAGAAGTGAAGCCATTTGAAGAGAAATTTGGAAAAAAAATTCTTGTGAGGTGTAACGATTTATCTTTTAATTTGCAAAGCTGCGTTGCAGAAAATGAAGAGGGACCAACAACAAATGTAAATAATTATTCTAATTACTTTCTGTTAATATGTCAATGAATGTCTTAATGGCAGGGATTCCTTGCTGTGATTGAGAAGTTTGTATTATGGGGATTTTTTTTCTACTCTTTTAAATCAGAATGAAAGCCTAAATCCTACAGAAAGTAACTTTGCTAGTATTTTTGCTGCATGATAGAGAAATTTTTCTTTTAGTGTCTCTTACATCTTGTTAGTAATATCTAGAGTGATGGCTGTGTTTATGAAAATGTTACTCATCTTTCTTTTGTGCACATTTTTACAGTGATATGGATACCACCAATGACACTTGATTCTTTTTTTTTAATGTCCAGGTAGAACCTTTCTTTGTCACATTGTCACTATTTGATATTAAAAACAACAGGAAGATTTCAGCAGATTTCCATGTTGATTTGAACCACCCCTCAGTAAGGCACATGATATCCAGTGTATCTCAACAAATGATGAATGGCAGTGGTGATAGCTTACACAGAATTCAAGACATTCATGAAACTGTGTTACAATATCCAAAGCAGGTAAGAACTAGTAATCTAAAGAATTAGTAGGGTTTTGGATACAAGAAAAGAGTTTTCCTATATGACTTGGATGGCTTTCTGTTATGTGTTGTAAAATGTTGCCTGCATTTTCCTTTTATATTTATTTCTCATTTCATTTCTAGGGAATATTCTCAGTCACATGTCCTCATACTGACATTTTCCTTGTGGCTAGAATAGAAAAGGTATTACAAGGAAGTATTACACATTGTGCTGAACCATATATGAAAAGTTCAGATTCTTCAAAGGTATGTTATTTTCTTCTGTAGCATGAACAAAATACTGAGGCAAAGCAGGTTGATTTTGAATTAGTAAATATCAATCAAAACCTTAGTTGTTTTCCAGTAAATTCAGATAACTACAATTTAGTAAATCAAATTCAGTTATTACTAGTAACTATTATTATATTATAGATAAAGTCTAGCATTTTATTTGAAACATTTATTTCACTTTTTCTAATTGTGACAATCTATGATTTTTATAATGTCTTTGAAGTTCAATACACTTTTGTCAAACCAGTTTAGTGTGAAAGTTTAGTTGAAAAATTTTGAACAGTGAAATATTGATCATAAATTAACTGTATATCTCTCTTAGTTAATGCATCTTATGTACTATATCATTGTTGACTTTTCCTTTGTCTCACTTTCTGATGACCATAGAGTACTGGAACTTCATCTGCACTCTTGATCATTAAGCTTTTGGTTTTATCTATAAAATGCTTTGCAGGTTTGAGAGAAGTCGAAATCACTTTTAGAAATAAACCACTGAACCATCTTAAGTTTTCAGGAGTCTCAGATGACAAAAGATTTTAATGTTCTCTGAAATGTATCTACAAAAAGTTTTTTTAGTTGCTACTTCTTGTTTGTCACTGAAGAAATAGAGGTTTGATTTTGTTGATTTACAGTTATGCTTAAATAGCTGGGCCAGGATATTAGAAAAAAGTGTTTTTGTAAGCACTGTCAGATACTGTTGACATTCTTCCTGTTTTCAGCTAGTGAAAGGGAAGAAGGAATGGTTAACTTACAGTGTCTGCAGAGGAACTGCTCTTTCCTATGGATTTACTGCTGGCCAAACTACATGTAAAAGACCCTATATTTTTCACTTGGTCTTAATATAGATCAACCTACTGATTTGCTTTTCCAGGAATGCTTGAGATTTTTTGTCAGCTATTGTTGGAAAACAGCAGCTTTGTATTTTAGGAGTCTGGTTTTGAAGTGTATGCTGATTGTTACTGAAGTTAAAACAAACCTGAACTGAGTAGCTGATTTTGGTGGCCTTGGACCTGAGCCACATAGGAAGGTTGAGCAAGCCCAAGTGTTACCACGTTGGACACTGCAGGCTAGACTTGTGCTGCCCTGTACTGCAGGAACAGCCAGTAGAAACACTGTTGGTTATATTAACTTACACTGTACATTTCTGGTATTCAATTGTTTATAATTTTATACACCTGAACACTTAGTTTGAAATTTGTTTCAGTTCTTGTTCATAGGGATTACAGTGTATTAACAAAACAGAACACTACTAGTTATATAGGCCTCCATTTGTATCAGTGCAATGAGCAAGTTCCCATTCCCTGTAGAATTACTACTCTGGACAAGGAAAAGGGAAAACAGAAGTAACAAATTCTGTAGCCAAGGAATCGCTTGTTCTCCCCTTAAAATTGATTTCATGATGATTACTTACCAAAGTTTTATGCATCCAAGTGCCATTTCCCCCTTTTTACAGGAAAGGATAATGGAGAGTTGGCTCAAACACAGTGATAGAATCAGCTCTTTATAATGTCAGCAGCATAGGTCAGACATAATATTCAGGCAGTTTTACTCTGTAGGTTGTTTTGTCTCTGACAAATAATTTTGCTCTCTGTAGACACATAGGAGAAGCTGATTTCTGGAAAAGAGAAACCCACTGCTCTGTCAGAAACTTCTGCTTAAATCAAGTGGTTCAGCTCAGTGTTGAACATCTCATACCAGTGCATTTCTAGCTCTGATTGTTGTACGTTGGCTGTATATAATGGAATTTTTTGTTAATTCAAAAGTTAACAAAATCAAAAATTTGAACTTTTAATGAAAACAATATTGCAATATTCTGTGTGTATTTGTAATACAGGTATTGCAGAGTATTGTGTTCTGGTACATGGGGTGGGTGGTAAATAGGGAAGCAAATGGGAGTTGAAATATTTTGTTTTCCTGGAATTTGAGTTTTGTCTTAAGAAACAGTTGAATTTTGCTCTAGCTTTCCATATAATTTTTGTATATAATAATTTTTTTTCTCACTTAATTCAATATTTATTATCAGGAGTGTAGATACATCTATGTTTTCACCTATGAAATGCTGTGAAATGAACAGGCTGTGCTTAACCTGAAATGAATCGTTAAGAGGCATTTTTAATTGTCTTTCACTCACACACTTAGGATTAATCTTCTAAACAAGATTTTCTAATTCATGTCAGTATCAACATTTTTTTTTCTTGTGTACTAGTGGTGCAAAAAATTTAGCTTTTCAAGCATGGTGTTTCTCATGTCCCTTGCAGGTTGCACAAAAAGTTTTGAAGAATGCTAAGCAGGCATGCCAGAGATTAGGTCAATATAGAATGCCTTTTGCCTGGGCAGCTAGGTAAGGACAAATCTTGTCAATCGGCTTTTTTTTCTTGACTTTTCTCTAACATTATTTTCTGCATCTCCCTTCTTGTAAAAGTTAATGTGCTATTTAAATTGTTGATTGTTTTGCTTTCAATTTACCAAAGCTTTCCTACAAATTTGCACTTCAGGTCTGTAGTAGGAAAAAAAGTTATAAACATTCATTACATTATTATTCAAACCATTAAATATTGCCAACTGTTTTCTATTGACAATATTTTTTAAGCTACTCAGAATGAAATGGTTCACACTTATTTGTTAGACTGAGCTATTTATATGTTAAAACCCACCTACAAGAGTATTAAATGTGTAATATGGCGGATGGTGCAGTATGCTCTGATTTCTAATAAAGAAATTTCCTGAAGTGAATTTCAGCACTTCCATAAACTTAGCTGAAAGCAAGACTTTTACTTTCAGGACGCTGTTTAAAGATGCCTCAGGAACTCTGGACAAAAATGCAAGATTTTCTCCTCTCTTCAGACAAGACAGTAATAAACTCTCAAATGAAGACATGCTGAAATCGTTAGCAGATTTCAGAAAGTAAGTCTGATTTTCCCACTTTGAAAAACAAAACCAAACCGAACAAACACCTGAACAGCCCCCATTCCTCACCCTAAGCCCCACCATATTTCGTTATGTTCTTGAACTGGAGCATCTAATATTTTGGTATTATGTATTTATATGCCTTTAATTTCAAATATGGAAGCTGTATAAATATAATCAAGACCTTCATACAGGCTACAGATCCTTCCTTTGCAGTGTTTGGGGGCTACAAGCAGGACTGAAGTATTATGCCACATGTAACATGCAATCGCATCATAGCCTGAAGTAGCTCTATGCTAGGAGTTATACTCACACAATATGCTCTTCTGGTTCTCAAAGGAAAGCGAATATGAGCATAAATCATCTGTTCACTGACCTTGGACAGAGAATGTTAGCCCTCAGGAAAAGGGATTAAAGACAGTAGCTAGTCCATGTTCCTTGGGAGTGCATGTCTCAGGATGGCTAAATAACAGAACACAGGTTATTTTTTTTTACAAAGTATTCTTAAAGACTTCATCAGTTTGTGTGCAAGGTTTAAGAATGTATCACCGACAGGTGATCATATTCATAAAGTTGTTAATCCCCTTATTAAATAGGATGTAAAATAACAGAGCAATCTTTGCTGCTTTGCAAAGATGTTTCCACTTCTGTTACGACAGAGTTAGCTGGAGTGGTATTGATTTGAATGATCACTAAGCACAAAAGGCTTGGGCTGTAGTTTCTTTATTTTATTCTTGCTTAACAAATCTGATAAGGAGATGAGGTTTGTAAGAGGTATTTTAATTCACTTTTAGCAAGTGTTTTAAAACTTCATTGAAGTTTATGTAGCATTGAAATGGTTGTGTACTGATACTCCTTGCCATAAACAGTATTACTGGAATTGAAACTAATAGTAAATTAGCCTGCCATGTAATTTTACTTTGTGAATTAAGAAAATGCTTTTTGTTATTTCAGCATTCTGTTTATGGAATCACGTACAGAATTTCACAGGAATTATAGTAAGAAATAGGTTATAATGTCTAAGGCATAGATGTTGGAATTAGGATCCAGACACCAACCTGAAGTTGTTTGCTTCACAACGTGGGATTGCATTTTGGAAAAATTTTGCACCCACTTGCTGTGCACTAATTCAAAAAATCATGCTGCTAACTATCTTTACTAATAAAGGGTTCTGCATAGTTTTACAATGAAAAATACTTGTACTTCAAATCATATTTCTGAATTAGTTACATAATAACATATAAGAAATTTCAGTGTTGGCTAGTTTTGCAGGGTGAGTTTTTAGTCTAGAAAAAGGAAGAGGTAGGAACTTGCTGATTTCTCTTCGCCCCCCAGGTTTACCCTACTACCATGAGTGCTTATCACTGACTGTTGAGATTTAAAAAACTTACTTATAGATCCCCTCTTTGCTGCAAATGATAGTAAGTTATTACATGGCAAACAAAACCTATCTTTGTCAAAGTTTTTCATTTTGATTTAAAGAAAGAAGAAGTCATTATTTTTTGTGACTTTTTCCACACTTTTCCACATAAAGCCTTTTTTTCTTTTCCTGAAAATTTAAAGGAAAAGAAAACTGTGAATCTAAGCAAAAAAAGACCAGATCAGTCATCCACCCTCAAAACACCTTTCCTCTCATACTCCTATTTCAGGATATTACTTTTGCCTCTGTTTCCTATGATCTTTTTTTGCTGGTATCTGATTTGCATTTAGCCTGACTTTGAGGTGTTTTGTTTTTTTTTTCCTTCCTATAGACCTGAAAAGATGGCCAAACTTCCTGTTATTTTAGGAAATCTGGATGTTACAATTGATAATGTGTCACCAGATTTTCCAAGTAAGTATTAACAAACACTGTTAGATGGTCATTCGGGCTTTTTCCTCTTTGTTTTTTTTATTCGACTTTTTAAATTTATTTTCAGATTATGTTAACTCATCATACATTCCCATGAAGCAGTTTGAAAACAGTACCAAGACACTAACAACATTTGAAATAGAGGAGTTTGTTCCCTGTATACCAAAATACACTCAACCTTTCACCATCTACAACAATCATCTTTATGTTTATCCAAAGCACTTGAAATATGACAGTCAAAAGTCTTTTGCAAAGGTGAGTACAGGAAAACTGTACCTTCTTTCTCAGGTTTGGTTAAGATTGTTTACAACTGAGATTTATTTCTGATTATCCTTATGATTGATTGTTCGGGTTTATGTTTTTAAATACTGCTTTAGGCTAGAAATATTGCGGTGTGCATTGAGTTCAAGGATTCTGATGAAGAGGATTCTTTGCCTTTAAAGGTTAGTCTTTTGATTTTTTTCAACAGATAAAAGAAAATAGTGAACACGTAGCTAAGTAACACAGTAGTACTGGATTAATTGATCTGGTTTGGGATGGTGGCATTTAATTTCTTTAAATCAACAAAAATTCCAGGAACAAACTTGTTGCAAACAAGGATGGTTTATGTGTACTCCACAGTAAGTTGAAACAGCAAATCTTTAGATCAACTGGAGAGCCAAGCTCCATGTTTATTTATGAACCATCAGAGTGTATAAAAGGTGTCTGGAAGTAAAAAAATAGAGAAATGTGTAGACATCCTGAGGTGAAATGACAGAGTCAGCTCAATTGCACAGCAGGCAGACTACAGATCATGTAGTCTGATCCCTGATCAGACTGTTTCCTTTGCACAGATCCCTGTCATTATTAACACAAGTTAATATATTTCAAATTCTGGGTGAAACTTTCTAAGCTGAGAGTGAAAAAAAGGATCACAGGGTTTTCTGTTCTTTTTCCCTTTCTTCTAAGTGTATCTATGGTAGGCCTGGTGGACCAGTATTTACTAGAAGTGCATTTGCTGCTGTTCTGCATCACCATCAAAATCCAGAGTTTTATGATGAGGTAAGCTACCCTTCTGAGGTAACTTTTACTGGGTTACGTACTAGGTAAGTTTCAAAAATACAGGAAAATATTAGAGGATTGCAAAGTTCTCAGTTAAATCAGATTCCCCTTTTCACTCTAAGTAAATTTTTTGGAGTTTTGGGTATGTGTGATTCTTGATCTTGCTTCAAATTATATATAATCTGGAATTACAACCAGTAACACGTATCTGTGCTCTAGCTGAAAACTTCTACAGAGACTTCTTTGCCTTTCAGATTAAAATAGAATTGCCCACTCAGTTACATGAAAAGCACCACTTGTTGTTCACCTTCTACCATGTCAGCTGTGATAATTCAAGCAAAGGGAGTACAAAGAAGAAAGATGTTGTTGAAACACAAGGTTTGTACACTAATGCTTTACTTTCGGTAACTACTGGGGAAATTTTTTGAAGCGTTCTTATCTGGTAACCTGTGACTTCTGTGATCCATGTAATGCTTCCTAATTACATTATACCGACTGAAAGATTACATAAAATATTTTTTCTAATTTAAATGTTTCAAATGTTGGTTTAGAATGTTCATCAAATGTATGGTGTTCTTGAAACTCAGTGACAATTTATCTGCATTTTTAATAATTTCTAATTGTTTGAGTTCAAATAGTGTGGCCTTTACAGCAATATTTTCTTGTTTCTGAATTACATATCAAAATTATTCATTAAGACTTTTGTAAGAGTTTATGTTAAGTTTCATCAGATATTTAAAATTACTTGCCTTTCATCTTCCATAGTTGGGTATTCTTGGCTTCCTCTGATAAAAGATGGAAGGGTGGTCACCAACGAGCAACACATCCCAGTGTCAGCAAATCTTCCATCAGGCTATCTTAGTTATCAAGAAGTGGGTGTTGGAAAGGTATGCTATATGAAGTTGCTCTAATCTTGGAAAAAAACAATGTGGAGAGGAGCTTTGATTGTAGTTCCCCAGTCTGATGACAAGATTTAAGTAATTTTCTAGTAGAATTTATTTTCTTTTATAGTTGAAATGGAATGTTTTGCAAAAGTTAGATGTCTGACTAAGAGGAAACAAACTCAATGAGAAATGGGAGAGCAAAAAAAAAGAAGTATTAGGGCAGATTGATTCACATTCTTGTAAAAGTCAGAAAGTTAAGTTGTTACATATTTATATTTGTTATTATTTAGCTGATGTACTTAAGAAATGCTTACGTTTCATTTTCTGTAGTAATTATTAACTAGAAGTTACAGTAATTTTTTAAACATATAAAAACTATTTGAGTTTATGAAGGTATTCAAATAATCTGAAGTCCTTTACTAAATTTTTTTTAGCATTTCATGCTGTCTCCTTTCAGTAAGTCCTTTATTCCTGAAAAAGTCTTATTCTCACATCTTGATTTTTGTGATCTTTATGCTTCACTAGTAAAATTTATGGTTGTATTTTTCAAAGCAGAAAGCTTGCATAATTGTAAGTAATAAAAATGATACCAAGGAGGATACAAAATGAAAATGTGATAGGGGATTTGACAAAGAGATTGAAATGCAGAGACAAAATTGACTAATTTTGGAGGAAGAGACCTAAAATCAACAGCAAGAGGTGCTGCTCTCCTCCTGTTCTATCACCTGTTCTTTTTTGAACTCTGCTGTAAGCTTTCCAACCATTGTCTCCTTCACATCTTTCATCTTTTCACATTGTAGGTGTATTCTTTATGCCTCTGCTGTTCGTCTCTGCTCATGCCCATGGGTAGAAGGTTAGGACCAATATGAGTAATTGTAGATCTAGCAGTAAAATCTCTCCCTAACTGGTTGTCAGGGTGAGCATTCCCATTCTCAGTTCTTTGGATAGGATGGGAAGGAAGCACTGGCTGCTACTATCAGTGACATATGTTAAGCTTTAAACTGTGTGAGTATCTGTGGAAATTCTTGTGTTATTTTCCTCAGAGAACTAGTACATAATTCTCTCTAGTCAGAAGTTTCTTTGCAGTTGTAGGGGAAACATGAACTCTATGCTGTACAGAGAATCAATTCTGTTAGCCATCGGGGAAACTCCTGTGGGACCTTGAAAAAACATTTTAAGCTCATAAATGCTTTTGGTAATATTGCCTGCATAATTTTCCTTTTTTTATGACTTTATTCATTGCACACATTTCTTCAAACTGTTTTTTTTCTTTCTAAAAAAAAGTGTTGTTAGTGGTACTATGAACTAATTGTTTTACTCTAATATACTGCTGCGTTATTTTACTTTTCCCCTTCATGTATGCTTGCAGCATTCTGGTCCTGAAATTAAATGGGTAGATGGAGGCAAACAACTGTTAAAAATATCCACTCATCTGGTATCAACTGTGTATACACAGGTGAGTTATAAAACAAATTAAATTAGAGAAAGTTTTAGGAATAATGTATGTTTATTGTATGTATTCACGATATTTGGGAAGACTCTTGAACTAAATATTCTTGAACTCAGTGTGTTCATCTCTTACTTTTTTGTCTCTTGGACATTTCTCATGGTATGTTTCTTTTACATCAGCTGTGAAAAAAACAGAAGATATTAAATGGAAGCTATTCAAAATATGAGCCTTTTGTCTACCACCCCCCATTCCAATCTGAATTTTCCAGATAAGAGGTCATAGTTTTCTGAAAGCTATTTACTGGCATGTCTGCAATGCAATGTTATACCTGCTCATGAAAAACATATTACGATCAGTCGGGATAATTAAGTATGCTGTTTTCTGTACATCAGTTGGAAGCAAATATAAGTGGCATTTTGTATAATGGGTATTCAAGAAACACTGGAAATTTCATATATAGCTTAGAAATATCAAAATATTAAATAAAAATTTTAAAAAATTATTGGTGTTACATATAGACAAAAGTCTTTACACTTCAGTAATTTTTGAAAATTGAATCTATGGACAAAGGTATGGATTTCTACATATAAACATTTTTAATGTGTTGTGTTTCAGATTGTGGATAGTAATGTTTAATTATTTAATTTGTTGGTTTTTTTGTCTTTGACAGGACCAGCACTTGCATAACTTTTTTCAGTACTGTCAGAAAACAGAATCTGGAGCTCGTGCACTAGGAACTGATCTTGTAAAGTATCTTAAGGTATAAAATGGCAGTGAATAACAGATTATTTTATTTATTTATGCTTTTCCTTTTAACATTACCTAGTGTGCATTTCAACAGAAAAGTACAAGTAAGTACTTCTAAAATGCTGTTAAAAAACCTGATTTTTATCCCTGATTTACCTTAATGTAGAAAACATTTACTGAATATTTATTTTGGAAAATATTCTCAATTGGTTTCTGTGCAGTATTTCTGATAATTAACACCAAATTGTGCAAGCAGTGTGTATTTTTGAAAAAAGACTTGCAATAAATTTTATTGTTTCAGAACTTGTGATTTAAATGCCTTTTATTCAAGAGAGTGACAGTATTACTACTTTCTTTTAGAGCCTTCATGCTATGGAAGGCCATGTGATGATAGCTTTCCTGCCAACTGTTCTCAACCAGTTGTTTAGAGTTCTCACTAGAGCAACTCAAGAGGAAGTGGCAGTCAATGTGACAAGGTAAAGAATTTTAAGTTAAATGATGACTAGGTTATCACATAAATCTATAACTGAGTAGCATTTTTGCTGTTGCAATCATAGTTTTCTTTATAGGCTTACTTGTTTTTGACTTCTATTTAGGGTTATTATCCATATTGTTGCTCAGTGTCATGAAGAAGGCTTAGATAGCTACCTGAGATCTTATGTCAAGGTAGGTAAAAATAAATTGAATGTTTTCTTTTTTATTTCCCTGAGAAAGCGTATATTTAATTTCAGTTGCATATATTTAATTTCAGTTCTCTCATATTATGTCATAATTTTATATTAAATTCTGTTTTTCCTCCCTAAGTATGCTTATAAAGCTGAACCCTATGTTGCTTCTGAATATAAGACAGTACATGAAGAATTGACAAAGTCCATGACAACAATTTTAAAGCCATCTGCTGACTTTCTTACGAGCAACAAGCTACTTAAGGTACTATACTTCTTACCTTATGTTCTTATCTGGTCGTAACTGAGGAATAGGAACTAATTGTATTGAAATAGTTGTTGAATGCTTGTGGCAATTTTACAGAATGTTTTCTTTTCTCTGCAGTATTCATGGTTTTTCTTTGAAGTTCTGATAAAATCAATGGCTCAGCATTTGATAGAAAACTCTAAAGTGAAGGTATGTCAACTTATACAAAAAATGTTATTCTGAAGAGAATTTTTATTGTCTCTTTTCCAACCACATATTCTAGAGAGAATTTGTATTGTCTCTTCTCCAATCACATACTTTTATTGCATGTTAGAAGAAACATGTGGTTTTGATTTCTAAATAGTAACTTCATTTGTAAGAAAGGGAGAGAAAGAGGAAAACAGCTGGAGAAATCGATTGAAACATTAGATAGGAAAAACTTTGGGGCTATATTCAGCATTACTATAAAAGAATAGAAACCTATTAAAATGCATACAGTAGAGCAGTCTGTGTAAATCATCAGACTCTCTAGTAGAAATTCTTAATTCTTACAGTACAATGAAGTTGGAAGCAATAGATAACACTGTGGACTTTGATGTAAGCACTACCTCAAAAAATGTGGACTTCTTCCTGTGCAGTCCATTAGCTGAGATACAAAATGACACAGAGAACAGCGAGTCATGAAGTTTACAGTCTTCTATATACAGTAAGAAATATCGATATTTAATTTAGTGTTATCTTCTAAACTGGAAGGAGAATGCTAAAATTTTAGAAATGAATTTTTTTCTACAAACTTAGCTTATAAGCAGTGTTTTTCTGCGTAGGTGACAACTTTTTAGTTTGCTTACTTCTGTATTGAAACAAGTCTTGAAAGTTTCAAGTATACAAAATAGTCCCAGCTGAGTAACGTATCAGGTTGTTGTGAAATCGTTATCACTATTTTTGCTGTGTATTTAGAACATAGCTGAAAGTGTGAAGTACACTGGGGAAAAAATAATCGGACAATGATCAGGAAAAAAGCTTTATAGTAGTACTTTTAATACTCTGTGGTATGATCAGTAGAGTTTGAGTCCCAGTTCAACTAACGTCATTGTCATCTTCTCTGTAATGTGAAAAAGAAATCTGCAGAACTTATCTCTAGTTTGCAAGTAGTCTCACTCCTGAACATTGCTTCTTGATTTACAAACCCCTTAAATATTTTACTAGCTTCTTTTCTGTCTTACTAGGTAAAGTAATCAATGCAACATGTGTTCAGATATTTCCTGCTTATGAGATCTGATAAAAAGATGCATTTCTATATTTGGCAAGATTATTTCTATAGCAAGAATTTTGTAGTATTTCTGGAAAATGTTTAATTACTGTCCAACAAAGACTGAGCTACAAGAGCCTCGTAGGACACTGGCATAACCACTAACAGAATTTTTAATTTTTATTTGTTATTTCATGAATGAGTACAGTTCATATTTATGAAGGGATCTTTTTCAACCTTAATATCTGTTTTTAATTATTTTTTTTAAACTAGAGCTGGAACTTTGGAAGACAATTCAAACATTGTGTAATCATTGATTTATGCACGGCCTTGACAATGACTTGTTCTGTCTAGGAATGTTGCATTTAATCTAGTTAAAACTATGTAAATAACAAAGTGCTTAAACAATGTGGATGTTGTTTTAATTTCAGTTTTCACAAAAAGAAAGACAACTAATTGTACAGTTGCAACAGTTTTTGTCAATGTCATCAGCCTCACACCACCTGTCCATTAAGTCCCTTCAGACAAAAGACAGAATCTTTAGTAAAGGTTGTAAGATGTAGAGAGACTGCAGTGCCAAAAAGCTAAAAAAAAACCCGCTTACTGACCAGTACTGGTCAGAGTGTACAAAATCATTGATGAAGATGGTGAGTGGAAAGAAGGAAATTGTGAACAAAGAGGAAATCTTTTAAGCTAAATGGCAAACTACCTAAAAGTAAGGGAAAACAGTTCTGATTGTGGAAACTTAAAAACACAGAGAGTAAGATTCTGAAACCTGAGGTTTTGAAGTCGCAGAGGAGGAAGAGAAAGAAAGAAGCATGGATGACAATTTCTTCAATGGAAAACAGGGAAGGTATTATTACCAAGATAGTTGCAGAACAGCAAAAACTGTTTTTCTTTTCAAGGCAGAAAAGACAGTCTGATAATGCATTTACTATATGTCAACCAGCTGGTGTCTGCTTTGGAAAAGAAGATGGATAAAATTAAAGGATTGCCTCTGTTGTCAAGTTTGTTGGGGTATAGAAAAATATTAATGCATTATACTTAGAAGTTTTTATCATTGAAGACTGCCTTGCTTGAACTTCAACTACAGATGTTAGGGCATGTTGTCATAATTTATTTTAAGCAAATGCTCTTTTTTCTGCTTTTGTGTAGAAATATTGAAATTTAAAGAAGATATTTTGTTAAATCACAAATTGGAAAATTTGAAAGGTTTTTTTTTCTCTCTCCTTATCAGGTTATCTATATCTTATCAAAAGTAAATTTTCTGATGTATTTTAGTTTATAAATGATAATAAATATTGTGTCTCAATTTGTTTCTAGCTGTTGCGAAACCAGAGATTTTCTGCTTCCTTTCATCATGCAGTTGAAACAGTTGTTAATATGTTAATGCCACACATCACTCAGAAGTACAGAGACAATCCAGAGGCTTCAAAAAATGCAAACCATAGCCTTGCTGCCTTTATAAAAGTAGGTACACAAGAAACTTGGACTCTGTGGTTATTCTTTCAATAATACTTCATGGATTTTAAAGAATCTTAAAGCCAACTCTTATAAAGCTGAATATGCATAATGCCTTTTAAATATAATTTTTTGTCCAAGTTAAAATACATTGAAGTATAATTTGCAACTGCTCTAATCAAAAAGACATATATTCTGAAACTTGGTATTTTAAAACATTAATTTATATTTTATTCAAAATATATTTTTGTTTTTCTTCCTTTTTCTTTAAAAATATTGTCTGGGTTACCTTCCAATCCTATGAAATTTTGAGTAGTGCTTTATTTGCGTGAGTTTTATGTAGACAGACTTCCAGTATCTTTCATTTTTCAGCCTCTAAGATCTAGAAGGGATAAAAAATGGATGGGAAGTAAAATGGTCGATAAAACTGCTAGTGGCATATAATTTTCATTTCTATCAAGATAGAGTTCTTCTCAAACTGCTTTTTGTTTGTGATTTGTTTAAGTTCTGCACTGTAAGGGAAAATTTGGTGTTCATATATGTACACATAGTTTGCTTGTTGGCTTTTGTATTCAAATTGAAATATCAATGATGTGTTTGGAAAATAAACTTATTAAATACAGAAATATAATTACTGAACACTGAGACAGTACTAAATCAATTGTATCTTGATTTTACTTGTTTTCCTCAGAGGTGTTTCACTTTTATGGATAGAGGCTTTGTTTTCAAGCAAATCAATAACTACATCAGCTGCTTTGCCCCAGGAGATCCGAAGGTACTCATTATTTTTACACAAACTATTTTTAAGAGTTGTCTCTTCTGCATGGATAGAGTCCTGCATTAAGTCTTCAGATTTTTTCCCATTTACATTAGAAGCCCCTGATCTGTGCCTAGAGCATTTTTTATCCATCAAACCACTTTTTCATATTTTGTTTCCCATTTTCAAGTGCATTTTACCACCCTAGAGCATGTGTATTGCAAAAGCCATGGGATCTGAGGATGCAACAGTAGGCAGAAATTTTAAGCATGAGTGTGAGAAGTCTAAAGTTGGAAGAGTTGTTATTTCATAGGTGCTTTCACCGCTACATTTACTGGAATGGTGAAAGCACATATCAGATGCCCAAAGAATTTCTGCTGTAGGTCCCAACTTTTCTTACGTTAAAACAATCTACTTGTAAACTTTGGACAATGGGAACAGTAAATGGAATTATATCCAGTTTTTAAGTATGAATTACGATGAATTTATTTTATGCTGACATGTGGAACTTTGACAGGTCTATATCTATCTTAGTGCAAGACTGAGATAAATCACCTTTTTGTGTTAGAAAGCTGTTTTTAATGTGTTGTTCAAATCACTGCAGCAGTTGTTTAATTATACTTTAAAATTATTTTTGCAGACTCTTTTTGAATTCAAATTTGAATTTCTTCGTGTAGTCTGTAATCACGAGCACTACATACCTTTGAATCTACCAATGCCATTTGGAAAAGGCAGAGTTCAAAGATACCAAGGTAAATTCTTCCAAAGTAGTGTATAGTATTTTCCTTAAATGTCATCTTTGTATTATTAGATGTGGACACTGCATAACTTCAGGTCTATGAGACATTGGAAAGCTTGAAATTGTTAAATAGAAGTCTAAAGTTGTAATCCTTTCATTTAAAGGAAGTGTTTAGGTAGCAGAGTAATCTCTCTAAGGTATCTAGTCTTGGAAGACATGGTAAACTACATCCTTGACTCCTGCCTTTCCTGCTATGCTTACTAAGTTTGCTTTTTTGTTTTTCATAAGTTAGCTTTTAATTCATTAGTTGTGGAAGCCTGCAACATTCCTGTAAGTAGGTGTGTAGTGTGAGACTTGGTGTACTTTTTGCTTTTTTTATATAGCATTCAGGTTAAAAGGGACTTCAGTAGGTCTGTAGCCCAACCTCCTGCTCTGATCATGTTAGGTGTTCCCTTTACTAGATGGAACAAGCTCAGTTCCCGCGATTTCTCCTGGCAGTACATTTGCTCCAGATTTTAAGTACCTTGGTGGTCCTTCACTGAACTCATGTTAAGAATCTTGTACTAGGAGGCCTAAATACTGCACACAATATTACAGATATGTCTAACCAATGCCAAGTAAAGAGGAACAAACACTTCCTTGATATACTGGCTATGACCCTGTTGATACAGCCCAGTGTGCTGTTAACCTTTGTTATTGCCAGGATGCCATGCTAAATCATGTTGAAGCTACTGTCCACCTGGACCCCTAAATATTTTTCAGCAGAGCTGCTCCCAAGCTAGTTATTCCACAGCTGGTACCATTGCTGGAAGTCGGTCCATCCCAGGTGCAGAATTTTGCTTTTGTTGAATTTAATTGCTGTTTCTGTAAAACAATTGCTGTAGAATCTAGATGCTTCTGTAATGCAGCCCTGCCCTTTGAGCATTTGGGCACCAACCTTTGAGCCCAATGATCCACGAAGTCATTTTTCACTTTTTCACAATTTAGGTGTCTATTCACTATAATGACCCAGTTTGGATACAACAACCATGTGGACATCTGCTGTTCTCCTCTTGAAGCAGACAGGTTTACTGGTCTTAAAACATGATTTACCCTGGGTAAATTTATTTTGGCCATTCCCAGTCACACTCTTCTCCTTCACTTGATGCAAAATTATTTGCAAGAAGACTTCCTCCCTGACTTTTCTAAGGACCAAAGAGAGGCATGTAGTCCCTGTTCATCCCCTGTTATTGAAGATATGTGTAATGTCTACCTTCAGTCATCACAAGACCAAAATTATGGGAGACCCCCTGATCACCATGGCTTAAGAAAGGTGATAATGAGTAATCTTCCAGTTATATCAATTAACTAACTCTCTCAGGTATCTCATCTGGTTGTGTGGATTTGCATGACTGGAGGTCTCAGGAGATCCCTGACCTGATCCTCATTCACTGATGATAATTGTCTTTCTTGAAGCTAGTCTCTAGACTGTTAAGGCCTGGGAATCATGGCAGTGAAGGATAGCATAACAAAGGTATGGAATACTTCAGCCTTACCCAAGTCCACTGTCTCTAAATCACAGTCTGACACGATTTCCTTTTTCAGGTGTTTAATGCTAATGTAGTGGTAAAAGCTCTTTTTGTTGCTGTTGATGTCCATTACCAGTTTCAGCTGTAGCTGAGCTTTGGCTTTCTTTATGCATCCCTGATCTCCTTGATGCATGCAAAACAAGTCATATGTTAACTATTGCATTTGTGGCTGTGAAGACATCAATTTCTTCCAGGCATTGAACTATAGCAGAAATCACTAAACAGAGGCGAGGAAGGTGCTTTTACAAGTAATAAGTAAACCTACCTAACATATTTTTGTAGACTAGGTTATTTTTTTATTAAATATTTATTCACTAGACTCTGCTATGTTAGTAAGGTTAAGTATAACTAATTAACACTTTCATCACAGTAGAACAAGATGGTGCAAGATTTGGGACTACAATCTGGACAGCTGCTTAGAACTTTTTTCTGTCTTTGGCTTTTTCAGCCAGCCTTCGTGTGTCTTGGATAATAATACCACATAAATATTTTCCTAGAAAAGAGACTATGAATTGGCTTAGGTATCCTAAGAAAATAACAAAACTAGAGAAGACAGTGTTTCTGATACATAATAAAGAACAGTGTAAAATGCTGCTCCCTGAGTAGGAACTAGGAGTTCAGCCTGTAAAGAAGACCTTTATCGGAAGATTTCTGGCTGTGTTTTGCTGTGTCAAGCAGAAGATATTTCAGGTGATAGGGTTGGCTCTTAAGTGAGTTACAAGAAGACCTGTAGAAGTTACAAGAAGGCCTGTGCTGTCTTAGCTATATTTCTTTCTGACCTAATGTATTCCCTTACTGAGAGAGATCTTTGAAAAATGAAAGTGCTTTGAGATCTGTTTTTTGACGACTGTACTGAACAATGACAGTGAATATGAGAAAATCTTGGACACCTCCTCATCTGAAATGGTAAACATCATCATCATGGCTAGGCTTCACGAACGAAGATTTGGGAAGGGCTCTACCCACGTTTCTTGCACGTGCGTTGGTGGCTAAAAAGGCCAATACGAGAAAGGCATGTCCGGTTGCAAAAGGCACAGCAGAAAGACTCCTTAGATGGTATATTCTGCAAGGCTCGATTCTTTCTGCGTTGTCTTTTCTCCTCAAGGATGATCCTGCATGCTTTCTCAAAAGCATCAGCAGTGTTATAGATGGTGTGTTTCCAGGCCTCCCGATTGGAGGCCAGAGTAGACCAGTTATGGTGATCAATATGGCCAAGGCTGAGATGTTGTTTCAGGGAGTCCTTGTATCTTTTCTTCGGGGCTCCTCTCTTGCAGCAGCCAGTGGCAAGTTCGCCATAAAGCAGGATCTTAGGGAGGCGGTGATCCTTCATCCTGGAGACGTGCCCTGCCCATCGCAGCTGCGTTCTCAGTAGCATGGCCCCTCGATACTTGTGATTGCTGCCTGTTCAAGAACAGATGTGTTGAAGTTTCTCTTATGCTGTCGTATATTCAGTACGTAAATGAACTGGATTCTTTTATTACACAAAAAGTATTTCCAAGAGGGAGCAGTTTGACTTTGCTGTGCCTGATGTGCTGGGTTTTACTTTAGCCTTAAGTTAATTGATAAATTGATTTAAATAAAACCATCCCTTACATGGAGCTTGTACTTTACTTCCAGACCTTCACCTGGATTATTCATTAACTGATGAATTCTGTAAAAATCACTTCTTAGTTGGACTGCTTCTAAGGGAAGTGGGCAATGCCTTACAGGAGTTCAGAGATGTTCGGCAGATTGCTCTCAGTGTGCTCAAGAATTTGATGATAAAACATTCTTTTGATGAGAGATATGCTTCCAGGGTAAGTGTATTGCTATGCTAGTAGTACAAAATAATAAAGATTAAGTGTGCACCCATACAGAAAGCTTTTTTGTTCATAAAAGAAACCACTGTTATTTTGCAGCAAAACTATTTCTGCTCACACTATGATGAAAATTTTACTGATCCGCATCTATTTACCAAATGAAATGACAAAGCACCTTTTAGTGTGTGTGGGTTTGCATTTTAGCACATATAGACTAACTGCTGTTCTTAAAGTAATCAGATTTTTACAAGTGTGTTTTAAGCTCTTCTTTTCATTAAACATTAGCTTTTAATATTTGGCATCTGTCCTTCCATCATCTATTATTTGTAAAATAAGCATAAGAAAGCTACACGTCATGGTGGTAAATTTTCAGCGATTTTTAATTTTCTGACTGTTTTTAACATCAGCTATGCTGTGGAGAAGCCATAAAATTATAATGAAAGGTATAATTAATTTATCAACCTAACATAATATTAATCTGCTTGGTTAGTCTTAGCTGAAATTACATTAATTTTGGAGTTTTTCTGCAATATTTTGAAGCAGTAAATAAAATTTACTGACCATCTGTAATTTAGAATGAAATACAGTGATGATCACTGCTTTTGTCATTTATGAACTTATGAATATGGGCTCTGGCTTGGCAAATATTTAGGGTTAAATGCTCTTTTTTTGTAATGTAGGAGTGAATAGATTAAAACCAATTGGTGATTGAAAATTAAAACTGTAATTTTTTTAATGAACTGCTAAACTCTATTTAGGGTCATCAAGCAAGAATAGCCACTATGTATTTACCGCTCTTTGGACTGCTTATAGAAAATGTTCAGCGAATCAATGTTAAAGATGTGTCTCCATTTCCTGTTAACCCTTCCAGCAATGTGAGTAACCATTTCTATTTGGTATTCTGAATTATTGATATCATATTTTAATGGTAACATATATATGAAACACTGCATACTCCTATCAAACAAAGAGTTTCATGAGCTTCAGAATTCTGCAGTTTTTCAGTTCTGTCCAACACTAAAACAAAAGGACCGCAAAAAATGGTTAATTTTCTAGAAATTAGAGAAGAATTTAACCTTAAAGAGTGCACTTTTGGAAGACTTGTAGTGTAAGAGGGCTACAGGAGTATTAATTAAAGTGGAATTTGTGAAGGGTATATGTTGATATATTATGGTTGCATACAATTATTGAATCTAAGATTTAATTATTCATGTGTTTTATTTTATTCATATCTTGCTGTGTTCCTTTTGGTATTAAGAAAAAAAATTCCAAAACTCTTACAACAAGAGAAATATTTGGGTGTTTGAAATAAAATTATTTTGAGTCTTTTTGAAGTATCTGTTTTATAGTGTTTAAAATTCAGTGGAATACTCATTTCTTCCATGTTTCCCGAGGTATAAATTTTAGGCTATCCCAAGGTTGTGCAAATACCTGAATATCTTATTCCATTCTTTAGAGCATATTTAATAGAAATTAAAATTTAAGGAAGAAATATATAACAAATACTTCTCTAGAAGATGTGTCCATTATGTAGGAAAATAGTCACATTTTTCTCTCCTTTCCGAACAGAGTGCCAAGGATGATGCACAAATTTTGCCAACTGCAAGTCAGTTAGTAACACCACAAAAATCAGGAAACACGTTGGATAACAATCTTCCTAAAGATCTCTTTGGTGTTATTTCTGGCATCGGTAAGCACTTAAAAATATAGTAATTAAAAAGGAACTGGTTTCCTTTTTCATTAATTATCAGAAATAAATATTCTGTCCAACTTTGGTTGCTTTCTGCATGTGTACTTGAACCTAATGGAGTCAACAGTTTAGTGTGGGTCAGATTTCAGTCTGTACATGACATCTGTCATTTGGGATCTTTTGGGATTTGCTTTTCCACATGAAACAGAAGCTAATTCTTGAAGTGGTGCTCCTTTTTTTCCTTCTCAGAGGTGATAGTTCTTGTCTTGCTGCAGAGAAATTGGAGACAAGACTAGCCTTAGTCACTATGGCAAGAGTGCCATAATCTGCAATTTTGTATATGCTGTTAGCGATCACCTCTAAGTGGTGATTGTGTTCATGCATCTGGGCATCCTCTTGTCTGTCTTCTTAATGTGTTTTTCTATGTTTTGTTTTCTGCTGTAATTAGCTATGACACTTACTAGTCAATTAAACAGAAAAAGAGTTGAAAAATGGGAAAGGGGAGTTTTTAAAATAGGCTTCATGGAAGCATGTATGTGTTGCTGTGTATAGTTTTTACACGTGTGTGTATGTAGTACATGTCTGTGTGTATGTGTATACATATATAATTTGCTGAAACTCTCAAGTAAGTTTGTCTTCATTAAAAGTAACTAAATGGAGTTCATTATTTACTTTCTTAAAAAATGTATACATATATGGTGATTTGAAAAGTCTGACTAAACTGTGGAGTGACTTTTGTCAGTATATGTATTATTTGAGGTTTTATATTGTTTGGGCTTGTGGTTTGTTTGTTTTTTTTAGCTTCCCCATACACCACATCTACTCCAAATATTAACAGTGTGAGGAACGCTGACTCAAGAGGATCTCTTATAAGTACAGACTCAGGAAACAGTCTCCCAGAAAGACAAAGTGACAAGAGCAATTCTCTTGACAAGGTAAAAAAACCCAAACCAAAATAAAACCCCAAAAGCGTATTCCTAAAATTTTGTCCTGATTCTCATAAGAGTTAAATTCTCTGATGTCCATTGTGAATAGTATTTCTGGAATAACTTTAGAGCAGTATTTTATGTAAGGTTTTCTTTTGCAAAATAATTATCTTGTGAACTCCTTTTGCATTGCATTTATTAAGTTGTTTTGCAGAAAATAGAAACAGATTTTCAATGTAGTGACATAAGCAAGCAGTTGTTTTTTCCTTAGATAGAGAAAGGTACTAGATAAAGCGTATTGAATTTTACTTGAGGGGACCAAATTGTATTTAGGACAGCTTCTTTGATTTTATGGAGACCATCACTCCATCCTGTTCACAATATACTTAGCATTTTTAAAAGGCTGAAAAACTAGTTGCTGTGCTTTCTCTGGGTGATTTCTTTTATATTAGTTAGACTTTTCTAAATCATTTCACTTTAAAGATGTTACAAATTAGGAGCTCTGGCTGCAGTAGCTATGAGGTATTCAGCTGTGTCTTTCTAGAGTTTGTGTTGATACTGCTCACGTTTCATTTTCTTAGAGGTTGTTGTGCAAGTCACAACATGTTAACTTTTTCCCCTTGACTCTGACATGCCTTCGTGTGGCAGAGAGAGAAGCTTCTCAGAAGGCACTCTGCTCATGCTATACGACCAAATGGAGAAGAAGAAGAAAATTCTCACCCTGCAAAGAAAAACCGTGTTACTATGGATTTTTCACTTCTGACAATTCCAGCTTTGCCAGAGAAAATTTTGCATACTACTTTCTCTCTTCAGTTACAAGAAGTATCTGGTTTTTGTGCTTGGTATAGTTAAGCTTCTGAGTGAAGTGTGTGGTCAGTAGTTTTGCCGCTTCTTTGCAACAGTTGAAACTCAAACCCAATATATTCAATTTAGATATATAAAATATGTTTAAATGTCAAACCTGGAGTAGTTCATGCACGTGATTTAGTTTAAGTATAAAAATCCAATCAGTTTAAATATTTGCAGAATTTGAGTCTTGGGTTCCTTGACCAAGGTAATTAAGAAGTATCTTAAGTATATACTGTTGCTAAATGGCAATGCTGTCATCTATTACTTAGTTGTCATGGTGTTAATTACTAACGTGTGGTGTTTTTACCAAGTAAAAGGGTTTTCAAAGGAGTCAGCATCCTTTGAAAATTCTACTCTGGTCTACCAATTCAGGTAACACAGGATTTATGTTTTGCATGCTGTTAATATTTTTCCCAAATAATACTTGATCCTGGCTTTTTAGTTGTTGCTTTCTGAACTTTCTTTCTAGTGGATCAGATGTTCAGTGCATGTTATCTTCGAGTTTTTGCTCCTTGCTTGATACCATTAATGAAAAGCCATGTTTTTTGTTCTAATTTTCTTTCAGAATAACCTGTAGCACTATACTTGTGGAATCAGAATAGACTGGAAGTATATCAATTTCTATATTAATATGTACATACTTTATAGGTTACTGGCATGGTTTTAAATTAAGCTTCTGAGTAGCTGTAGTCCTAGTTTTATTCATGTACATCTTCAGCTATTTTAGTGGGAATATTATGTAATGCTCTGGACCTTTTCTGAAAGTCTAGGAAACACAAATTCTGTTTCTGCTCTGTCACCCATTAATTGCCTGCTCCATTATAGTATCTGTAAAGCTGTATAGTAGCACCTTATTGTTCACCAGAGATATTTTAAAGATTTTGTTTTTAGGGTCTTTAGAATCTGCACTAATCAGGCTTATAGAGGTGTCCATTTCCTCCTGAATTACAGTAACTTCTGGCTGGTATTCTTTATTGTTTCGTATTCAGTTTCACTGTACATCCATTCAATGACTGGTACAGGACAGATTTACACAGATTGTTTTGGGACAGCACTTCTTTAGTGCAACAGAATGCGTTAAAGGGCTCAGCAGTCAATGGATGTGATTGCTGTGAAGTGTTCCTTCATGGATTAGCATGTCTCCTGCTTTCAGTGAGGAGTATTCCTAGAAGGGTTGTTCTACCCTTGAGGTACTGGCACTTCTCACTTTGTTTTAGAAACAAAGTGCTTTTCTCCCTTGAGACTATATTTGTATTTTTATTTTTTCTAATTTTGATACAAACGATTTCTTCCAACACTGGTATGCATCCCGAAAAAGGTCATGAGGCCAAAGTGATCCAACTGTAGAAACCAAAGAGTTGCACAGATCACTTATACCAGACTGTGGATTTTACAGAAAACTTATTAAATGTCTCGTTCATTTTCGGTTTGCATAAGTGGCATATTGAATGTGAGAATTAGGCACTTAAAAGAACATAATTTATATTTTAAGCTAACATTTATATAGTATATCTTTAAAAGTTTCACGCTGAGGATATTGTAAAACTGGATTGTGTGGAAATTATTCTTTTACAGATAAGTCTTTGCCAAAAGTGCAATGTATCTATTTTCACATTTTTATTTTTGGGGTTTTTTTGTGGTACACATTTTGAAAGATCAGTTATAGAGTTTTTTTCTTTTTGGACAGACGACAGTGTTGAGCATTGCTGATAAACTTCCCACAAGCATAGTAATTGTATTAAAAAAAATGAAGCAGGGAGAGGGTTTTGGTTTGGTTTGGGTTTTTTATTTGGTTTTTTAGGGCGGAAGGGAAGGGGGACAAGAGTAAGTTACTTAGTAGTAATTAATCTTCCAGAATGCATATTATTGCCATTCATGTATGTTTTCTTTGAGATTCTTACATCTCTAAATGGAAGGAATTTTGTAGAGGCAGGGCTGTCTACAGTTCAGGATAAAGTGTCTCCAAAAGCAAAGGAGCTTTTATGTATCACTTGACATTAGCATTTATTTTTAAAGTATTTAATCTAAGCAGCAGGGGCATGCTTGATTTCTACAGTGTGAGTTTCTATGTATAATTAACTTGATTAATAAACACTGTTAGGTAACTTTTCCTCTTACTCCTCTTTCTGGGAGAAAAAGTCATACAAAAAAGGAATTAAAATAGACAAAGGCAAAGAGTCTTAATTTGGTATACTTCATGTGTGTAACGTGTTCTAGTGACCTGGCTTCATGAAACATTTTTGTCTCCATTCTGAGATCCTTTTTCTGTTACAGGAATTAATAAAACAATTGAAATCATTTTAGTTTATTATCAGTTTAAAAACTCTTCAGCCAAAATACATCTGTTTTCTTTTCAGAACCAACAGAGCAGCACTTTAGGAAGTTCTGTTGTTCGATACGACAAACTTGATCAAGCAGAGATCAAAAGTCTGCTCATGTGTTTCCTTCACATTTTGAGAAGCATGTCAGATGGTAGGTAATTCCACCTGGTTTTTATAAATTCAAAGTGATACGTTTTCAAAATCAGCAGAATATTTTAGGTGTAGGTACCGTGCTGTGCTGCATTTTACAAATATGTGTGATTGCTCAAATTAAACTCTGATTAAAAGAAACCTTGTAAGTGTTGCATACTCATTATTTCTTTTAAATGAGAGGCTAACTAAAGGACTTGTTAGGAAAGTGAGTATTTGTGTGCAATTGTACAGTTTGGTCTGGAAAATGGAGATGAAGAATAATTCATTGTTCTCTAGAAGTATCTCGGGCTAGTCCATTCCTCCATCCTGTAGAACTTCCTGTATGACAAGGAACCAAATTATTTGATTGCTGTGTATATTTTCATTTCCGGAGTGGGGATATTATTCTGGGTTTTTCATTCTCCTGGGATGTTTGTGGATGATCCATTGAATTTTTGAAAGAGTCATATTATGCGGGAGAAGGTTACAGAGATATAGAAATACTGCGTGAATGGCACATCTTACTTTTTTACTAGGATCATCCCTATCTGTGGTAAAAACATTGACTTTTTCAGTTTGTGCTGTCAAAAGTAGTTAATTTATTCTCTGTGCCTATTTGGTTGTTAATTTTTAAAATTCAAGTTTATGTAGTACTTGAACTCTAATTTATTACACCTTTTAATCAAGAATGAGTATTGAAAAGTTAATAAATATTCAATATCCAATCACACCATTAGATTTTCATGTAATTACATTGATATTATTGTATATATTTTAATTACAAATAATAATAAAACTCAAAAATATATTTTTCACTATTTTACACTGTAGAATATGTAAAGAGTTACCATATTTTCTTGGATATTCAATTTTAAACCACAGTGGGGATTTTTTTGGTCTCAGTTCTTCTGGAAAAGAACAAGTGTCAAATAGACTTTGTCACACATTTCTGTAATAATTTTGAATTTTGCAGTTAATTTGAAACATTTTTAGCAAAAGAGACCAGGTCTTGGCTATGCAACTGCATACTTTGTAGAACATATATAGCCATTTTTGAAAATTGTGGAAGGAAAAACTGAAACCTGTGCTGACTATTCACAGTAAAACATCATAAATTAAAGAAAGAAGAAATCATAAATTTGCATTTAAAAAACGTTGAGACTAATCTGTAAAGAATCATGCTATAGGACTAACAGTCAAAAGTATTCTGAAGTCTTATATTTTTATAACACCACAATCACTATGGACTATACAATT